TCTCCAAACATACCTACAAAACACACCACGTGTTGCCGGCTCGCACTCGCCGCCGTGGCCCGTCATTGCACATCTTGGTTAGTCGTTCTCGGCCGAGGCGGGTCACGTAGCAATAAGGCCACTTCGAACATCCCATACCTACAACTAACTAGGCAAGTTGACGAGTGCAGTGACTGTACTCTGCCGGGATCTGCGTGAAGAATGCTCTGTGGGATGTTTGTGGGATTCTCTGCCGGATTGTGTAGTGACCATTTGATTGACATCACAGGGTGCCACATCTCAGTCTTATCGGGTGGGTTCTAATTTAAGGCAGGGCCTCAAGTGAGTCTCAAGGTGTGACAGGGAAGAGGAGGGATAAAGCCAAGGCGTGGTGCATTGGCCTCACAGTAACAAAAGATCGGAAAGTACTGTGTAGCCCCAGAGTTACATCGAGATCTGAGATCGGAGCTCGGCTTTGTGAATCCCCTACATGAGCTGCTCATCGGGATCAGATGGTGTACGATTCGGATGAGGGTACACTCATGCGGACATAATCCGCCGACCCCCTTTGTCGGCGTCAAAAAGCTGGACTCGTACCTTTCCCGCTGGACCCGCTAGTGCCCTTCCCCATGGACCCGCGCGGTTTGCTTCCTACCTGGTGGAACCACGCGTATTGTAACCCACCTCCATACTCCAACGTTTTGTGACCCATTTCCCTACCCGCCCCCCGCCCTCCCCACCCGCCCTTGCCCTTCTCTTTGTTGCCCCTTCCCCCCCCCCGCCCTACCCAAAACCCGCCCCCCCCAACCCCCAACCCCTACCTTTCGACCCTTCCCCAACCCCCCCCCACCCACCCCCTTCCCCCCCCTTTTTGCCCCCCCCCACCCACCCTGCCCCTTTCCCCCCCTTCCCAACCCCCGCCCCCTCCCCCGCCTGCCTAGGCGGCCGAAGGACCAAAAACAACCGGATTTGTTGTTTTTGGTGGAACCACGTGTTTTGTGTCCCCCCCCCCCCCCCCCCCCAAACCCCCCCCCCCCCCCCCCGCCCTACCCCCCCCACCACGACCTCCCTGCCCCCTTCCCTACCCTACCCCGCCTGCCTAGCCCACAGGACAAGGACCCAAAGCGGTTAAGCAGATGGAACCACGCGTTTTGTGTTGGCTGCACCCTACCCCCCCCCCTACCCAGAACCCATGAAGAGACCCCTGGCAGAAGGAATTGCCAAGGCTATCAATCATACTTCATCCGCAGCGCTTACCTCGGGGGTCGGCGGCAGCGGCGTCAGCCTTTAAATCGGGCAGCGCGAGGTCCCCAAAGGACCGAGCAAATGCGGACCTTTTAGCCCGGGTCGTCCCGGGAATAGCCTTGCTGGCCTCTGGCCTTCTGCGAAGCAGAATTAGGCCGGACGCCAGTGCCGCCGACCCCCGCGTGCCGCCGGTGAACGGTTTTTTTTTCGTGGTTTTTTGCGTCGCCACGGAGGCCCCCAGAGGGCGCGCATCATGAGCATCAGCGGGTCCAGCCCGGGACCCCCAGGCGCGCATCAGGAGCATCAGCGGCTCCCGGGGCGGGACCCCGGGGGCGCATCAGGAGCATGATGCCCCCCAAAGGGCGGGCATAAGCGATGTGTCTAAGCCTGGGGCTAAAAAGGGGAGTTTAGGGGCCTTATAAAGTGCTTAGAAACTTTAAGGGAGTCTAGGAGCCTCAAACGCTTAGAGATTTGAAGGGAGTTTAGGGGCCTGAAAATGCTTGGAAACTTTGAGGGGGTTGAGGAGCCTCAAACGCTTAGAGATTTTAAGGGAGTTTAGGGGCCTCAAAATGCTTAGAAACTGCTCGCCCCGCGCTTCTGCCTGCGCTGCCCGCCCATGGGCGCAGCCCCTTAAAATATAGAAGTATAGAAGAAGGTGCAAGAATGCCTTGTCATTCATCTCTGCCGGATGGAAGCCAAATTTGATATTCTCCTGGCATCAGGAAGTGCTGACATGCAAGGGAAAATGAACAGACATGGCACGTACCAGATACCAGCAACATTATGCGTGCAGGGTTTGGCGCATGTCCGGATAGTCTACAGTGGCCCGCGGATCCAGGACGATAGCCGTCCTTCTCAGGATGCCCAGTCGCATGCACAACTTGATCTGCCTTAACGGCCTTAACGCCTCAATGGCCTCAATACGCGGACAGCACGCTCTTCCAGCAGCGAGGATGGTCCTGGGCATCAGGTTCTCTGGGAGCAGCCTGAGGCCACAGCTCCTCCCAGCGGTCGCCAGTGTGTTGCACAGCACGCATTCTGCTTGGAATTGTATCTGTAGCGGGTGGGCACTCCGGGGATACTCTCTGGGTTGGGCACTCCAAGGAGATTCTGTGAGATTCTTTGAAAACTCTGGGGAGGGGCTCTCTGGATCAATTTAGTCTGTCATAACCTTACAATCAACGACAGTTTTCTATGCTCCAATATGACGATGGACGTGCTGCAGGCTCAGGAAGAGGAAGTGGCAATCCGGAACAGGCAAGGTCATGAAGCTAGCGGCTTGTCTCGAGTGCTGCACAGCTGCCGGCACAGGAAGAAAGCGCTTGGTGTGTGCGCACCGAAAGCTCCATGTGTTCAAGACGATAAATGGGGGCAGTTCCTTCTCTCTGGTTTTGGCTCCGCGCTCGGGCTCCTTGGTGGAGCTTCAGGCAAGACTTATATCAGGCCTAGCGCCGCAAGCAACACGTGGACAACTTGCGAAAAGCGCAAGTAAGTCACTGCTGCTTACAGTCCTTACTCGGATAGGTCGAGCGCCGTGGTGACGCAGAAAAGCCATTGCCTGCCCCCTGCTCTGCACTATATGGTACAGATTGTACATCCTGCTCAGCGCCAAGCGAAGGTCCGTCGCTCAGCGGGCTTGCGTTGACGACCACCCTTCGGGAGCTAAGCAGGTCAGCTTCTTGGTAGTTTTTGTGAGTAACATCCGTTCTTGTAGGGAGGGGGAGAGGCTCAAAGTCGTTCTTCATGAATTCCTCCTGAGCAGCTTCTGGTAGTACGTGGGCTCCCTCATACTCGCATGACCGCCACTTAACGTTCTCCTTGGCGGCATATGCTGCGTAGGTCGGCTGCATTTCATAGAGGCTGTGGGTCCAACTGTAGGTCTTTCGGACGGTGCGCTCTATGCGCTCTGTGCGCTCTGTGCGCTCTTCGGGGACTGGCACCGGTCGGTCTACTCGGTCTACTCGGTCTACTCGGTCTGGTAGCTTCTGCACCTCACCATGCCAGTCCGTCAGGCACTTGAGGAGCTCGGCCACGGGAATTTGAATTTTGAGTTGCATGGCTAGCGCTAAGGTCGGCGAGCCATTGATTGTCTCCATCTCACATCGCTGTGCCCCGCAACCCGACAGCTGCACCGAGAAAGAGGACGGTGCCATTTCGAGAAGCGTTGGAGGGGCTAGCAGCAATGCTAGATTGGAGCTCAGCCAAGAAGAAAACAGCGATCTAAGCGCATCCAACGCCTACACACGTTCCATCCATATGGTGGTCTCAGCAACCCTTCAAGCATCTATGCAGCGGCAGAGGAATTTGAAGACGGAGCCGAAACTTTTTTGCAAGTGCTTCACTTCAGTCAGGGGCATTGCCCGTCTTGTCCATCACTGAAACGTGCCGGCTTTCGAAGTCTTCGAGGCCTCCTCTTCACCCTGGCAAAAGAAATTTTACCAAACGTCAAGAAGAATCGAGAAAGGATAGCTGTCCTCGTTCGTCAGCTGACCGACTTGCACGTTCAGCCGACACGGAGGCTCCCGTCCAGTTGCTTTCTATCTTCTAGCTGGCCCCCCCCCCCCTTGGCTACTGCACCCGCCTCGCCGCTGCGACGGATAGGGCTTTGCCAGACCTCGGCAGAAACGGAGGGGTGGGGCGGGGTGGGTGGTAAGCATCGAAACATATATACTTAAAAACAGAAACACAGAATTAGATTATATATATATATATATATCTATATCTATCTATCTACATATGTCAAGCTATGTGATATTGCAATTGCAAGCATCAGGCAAAGACCCTTCCTGCCTCCAGGAGGTGGCAGCCACCATAGTCGCCCTCCTGTCCCCCAAGACTGCACACACTGGAATGTCTCGAAACCACGTCATATACTGGGGCCCGCTGCAAACTTGAAAAGGCTTCTCGCGGACTTCAGGAGCGTTCTCAGGGGGTGCTCTTTGCTTATGCTAACGAATTTGTAAGGTAACGGGGTTTAGATGTTATTAATCAAACCAGTCAACCTGCTCCTGCCTCTGTCTCGCGTGGTTTGGAGACCAGTGTCGAGGAGCACAACTGATTCTGTATGACTCTAGACTCTAGAAGCCTTAATCGCAACAGTCTTGTCTTTCCAAGCAATGCTGCGTTAAGTAGAGTATGCGAACAGACAGGTACAGACACCGTGCCGCTCCACTAGAAAAGCGTATTTTATGGATGCCGCGGCAGTGGACCGCTGCACTGCATTTTTGGAGCCTTAAGCCTGTGAACGACACAACTTCCCAACTACTTGCAAATCGGATCCGGGTCAGGTGGGCTTTCACGATGAAATTGCGGCCTCGGATGCTTGGTGGTGCTGCTATCGCCGCCTTCGATTCAAATGTCGGGGCTCGAGCAATGGCTGAGCAGATCAGACAACCGCTTCGCAGTTCATAGTCTGCGCGGTCAAGCTTTTAGCTTCGCGCCTTTTTTCTGCACAATGGCCTCCCAGGAGAACGGCTCGATGCCATACTTACAGACGATGTGCACCGCATTGACATGCATTGACGTCCGCGGAGATGTCGGCATCAGCCAAAATCTCGTCGATGTCCGCTTCTTCCAAGACAAACTTCGGCTGGATGAGTACTTGGGGTGTCTGGCCAAAGCTGCCATTTGGAGGAGTTGCAGCTCCCACCCTTGCGTGGTGAAAAGTTGCTCCTGACACTGCTCGAAACACTTCGTCTGGATGCTCATACACCAGGTAGCAGATGCCTCGCACAGATTACATTTGACTTCCTGCCAGACTCTGTTCAGCGTCTTGTTCACGTTCCGGCCTTCGGGCTGTTTGTCTGGGATATCGCGACATGGATAGCCCACTGAGCATCGCGACCCATCCCGACAGTCACGTCGCTCTGTTTTTCGGGCAGGGTGCCCAGCGCTCTGACTGGACCCCCACCTGCTTGCACGGGCTCTGACTTAGCAGCCTTAGCCGCTGCCTCCGTGGGCGGCTCCACCAGCTCCTCCGACGGCGCCTGTTTCAAAGGCTGGGGCCGGCGGCACCTGGTCGGGGATATCTCCATGGACGAGCAAGGTTCTCATCCCAGATGCACCGGCGCAGACCAACCTCGAAGGTTGAACGGTGGCTGCCACCAAAGAGCCTTCACTCATGCGCGAGACTTGCGAGGCTTGCGCACGTTGCACACGTTGCACACATTGCACACATCGCACACATCGCATGTCCGCGTCCTGTAATCAAAGAAGCAAACACACCGGCCTTCCGGTTGCTGTTCTCCTAAGCGCGTGAGAGGCTTAACTCTAACAACGTGTGGCATTGTTTGTGGTGTTGGCCCTGCGAAGCGTGGCGTGCGCATTTGAATCATGCGAATGCCAGTCTCGTGTAGCCATCTCTCAGACCAAGCGGCCTTCATCCTGGCTGCCTCTCCGCGAGGATCTCTCCACACCGTCCACACGCCAGTCTTTGCCGGTGTGTGGCCGGACATACATCAGAGCAGAAATGTTGCTATGAAAAGAGGCGCAGAAAAACGCCCTTTCAGCAATAAAGCACACAGTGCCTACATGCATGCGAACAGGTCGTGCTCCGTAGATCTCCCCCGACGTGACAGAAAGAACGAAAGACATAGAAAAATCAAGGACGAAACACAAAAATCAAAGAAAGAACAGGGTCCGACTTTCGTTTGGGGTCTACGCCAAAACCGTGCCGCCGCTGAGTTTTGGCTGCCATAGATAAGGCGTTTTCCCAGGTTCTAATCATATGCACCAAGAAGCTGTAAGCACGAACGCAAGGCGCAGTACAGGCAGCGCTGCAGGCATACTGAAAAATTAGATACTTTTCCACGAAGTCGGCATTTGCTGAAGGCAACGGCCAAGACACGCATGCCAAACCTTCAAATCGTGGGCTGGGATGGCGTAGCACACTGCAGGAACAGATGCAGGCTGCGCAACGTTTGAGGCATCACACATCAAGACATAATCAGGAAGACGATGATCGGTAGGGTCCGAGGCGTAATCAACTCACCGTAACTCCGACCAGCTGTAGGCGCAAGGCTCTGAAGCCCCCTGTCGGCGTCGCTTCCTATGGCCTAAGATATCCCAAGATTCAAGGCCACGTGGTTTTTTGCAAATCTTCTGGGATCCACATATTTTAACTCCAAAGCTTACAAGCATTGGACCCTCCTTGAAACCTGAAGGTCTGGGTAACCGGGTAGCCACCTCAGGCATGATTTAAACAAAGAATTAGGCAACGGTTCTACGCATGGTAGCAAAGTCGTATTGTGTGTCCTGGCCGCATCCCCCAGCACCCTAGCACTCGACGAGGCTTGCAGTTTTCTCGTGTGGGTGAAACTGATCGATGTGAAAAAGCCTTTAGTGGCACATCTACGCACATCTACGCACATCTACGCACACATGTGCGAAAGCTAAACTCAAACGATATTTTTAGCACGCATCACTCTCCTCACGGTGCTTCAGAGACGTCCAGGCGCTGATCATCCCTGGTGCGGCACTCGAGTCGCTCAAGCCCCCTTATTGAGAACCTGCTCCCAGATCAGCGCTGATGCGGACAGACGTCAACTCGGACGTCGACACTCATCAGGTAGGTTTGCATTACCTTTGCCAGGGCGTTGGTCACCTGAGAAGCACGCAACTTCGGGCAGCCTCTGCACTTTCGGGACTCTCCCAATTTGCCAAGGCCTCGGGGTGCTGTGTTCGCACGATCAGCCTCACGAGGTTGCGCCCAGAGTCGTACTGCAGGCGGACCTGTGGAAGCCCCCTTCAATGATTCTCAATGCAGTGACCGCTGGCAACTGGCAACGAATCGGATGCCACAAGGGACCGGGCGAGGACCGGCACGGTCATCATCTTCTCAGGCTGTGCAGGATCAGGCGTAGCCGTGTTCAGCGTGCCTCTCAGAAGCTGTGGAGTTGCAAGACGTCACTAGCCTTCAACTCAAGCCTGCAGTTTGTCAACCGTCCAAAGGCATCCCTAGAGACTGTTGTAGACTCAGTTGAGACGCCCTGGAGCTCGGGGCACCGAGACTTGGCACCTGCAGCGAACGCGGCCGTGGGCCCACTCTCCGGGAGGACGAACATGTTGAAGCCCTGTCCCCACACAGCGCCCCCGGCAATACAAAGCAATTAGCACAGCTTAGCGCAGCTTAGCGCAGCTTTAGAACGTTCTCTGAAGGGCAGCTCGGCCTTCCCCAGGTAGTTGGGCCACTGGTTCGGCTGAGCCTTGGCCTCGCAGCCCCCAACTCTCCCGTGACCACTTCGAAGCTACGCAAAGCTAGTCACCCTCAGGGGGTTTCCGCCTGGCCATCCAGCACCATCTCACGCGGCCCCGTGAGCGTTTCGAAGAACTGCCGGAACTGGCCCATCTGCCAGGTGACACGCGCGAGTCTCTGACAAAAACCCTGCCATCTTCGGCTCGATCCCGGCTCCTGCACTTGTGCTGGCGTGATGAACTTGCTGACCACAGCAGGCCTGGTGGGAAAAGGGGACATGGAGGTGGAAGTTCATGCGCACAAACGCTGCGGGCCATACTGAGGACAGGGCAGCAGCAGCGGCAGCTGCTGTGGCGGGGCGCCAGGAGCTGTGCAGTATCTGCACGAAAAGAGCCGCGAAGAAGGCATGATGCGTCATGATTATTCTTCTCATGCATGGCTGAGTCATGGCCGAACCGTCTGAGCCGAGCTGCTCCACCAAATACTTGGCTGGCTGCAGAAAGGGGCGCAGGCACTGGACCTGGACCAAGTGGGTGGCCTCCGCACCAAAACTTGCGATCGCAGCAGCATTGCAACTGTTGACGATTGAGAAATTGTGTGCAAAATTGTGCTGGAACCTGCCTGTTCGCCCGGCTTCAGGGAAGAGGGCACCTGGACTGAAGCAGAGCCATTTGAGGCTGATCGCGGCTCTGCATAGTGGCCCCGCTCGCTCCGCATATGACTTGCATGGAGACAAAAGGGGGGCGCCTCACTGAAAGTCTGGACTCGCAAGAAGTCCACCTGGAAACAGCCGCCGGGTACTTGAATCTTTGGAACTGAGGGAGTTTGCTTTCGGGAGGCCGAGGGTGGAGTGATATGGGGTGGTGGTGGTGGCGGCGGTGGTGGTGGTGGTGGTGGTGATCTGGGTGGTGGTTGCTAGAATGCCAAGTTTGTGCCCTCTTGCGCATGAACTGATGAATTGTGCTTCAACGACCGATCTGGACCTGATCCATTAGTCGACATGAAGTGAACTGTTACACTGTTGGACAACATGGGGTAAGGAACCATCTGCTCATGCTGGTGCCTGAGGAATGTGGACTCGGATGTTGCCGATGGGAGCCTGTTGGGTCATGCCAGGCTTCAATCGCTGCAATCGCTTAGCGGGTAGCCAGCTCGGGGCGTCCTTGGCGGAGTTGACAAAGAGGATGGTTAAGCGACCTGTCGCAGCATTGTACCTGCCAAAGATAAGTAGTGAGAGGCACATTCCCCCACGCGAAGGGGTCCAGCTCACTCTTGCTTCATCTCCAGGACAAGCTGCGGTGAGGTGTAGAACCTCCAAATGCGCTAAATCCGCAATTCGTGAGGCAGAATGCGTCCTTGCCTTCCTTGCGGCGCAATGCACAGTTGCGACCACAAGTCCTGTAACTCCGGCGTGACTGTGTGACTGGCATCATGCAAGTTGATGCTTGTGACGAGACTCAATCGTCCTTGGGAGTCTGTCCGCCAGCTGCGCCGTTGCTCTGAGCTGGGGCAGCGTCTGGTCACACGGACGCTGTTGAACAGCTCCCGAAGCAATCACAAGAGATCTTGTGGGGGCACGAGAGACGTCTCACGCGATTACTTGTAATGGTCGCGCACAACTTGCGCTGAGACTCTGAGCCGATTACTGCCGTCAGACACTGTCATGAGACATGCCATGAATAGGCGCAAAGTGCCAAGGCCTTCTTCAGAGTCGGAAGACTCGGACCTTATGAGAGAAAGTGTTCCAAGGGTGCTGCCCTTGAAGGGCCTTCGGGATCATCTCTGAGCCGGCCGCGCTGACGCCTCCTGAGCCTCACAACATCCACAGAACATCAGCAGAGCGAGGGAACTCAGCACCGGGACAGCACTGAAGCAACGTGTGTCCGGGACGCTTACCTTGGGCGGAGCTGGCTTTGGCCGGCCTGTCAAGTGCGGTCCGTGCCCCACTCAGCGCTGCGCTGCTGTCTGTCGCTGGCTTCTCTCCTGGGTCAGGTAGCTCCATGATGCGGCCGTCGCTCTCCGACTTGCTGCGGCCTGGCTACAGCGGTCGCAAGATACTGCAATGCCTTTTGCAATGCGTTGCAGTGACCCTCACCGACAGGCCACATACCCAACTTCCACCGCACCTGGCTTGTACATTCCGCCTTCGCTCTTGGCTGCCTGACTGACAGAACTTGCAGAATTCTAAGGTCTACTGCTAGAGGCGAAGATCTATATATCAACGACCAATCGGCATCCGCTCTTCGCAATCCTTCAACATTGGCCTACTCCGGCAACGCAATCGTGTGCGTGAAGTTTACTTAGGAAGCTGGCAGAAGACAATCACCAGTGCATTTCAACATGTGCGAAACCCATCTGTTGTGATTTCGACAAGCGACCTCTGGGAGATTTTGTGGTGTCCAGATTCGTTGTGCAAATAAACAGGAATCAGCCTCCTCCAGCTCTGCACGTGTGTGCGCACGGTTCTTTGCCGAAAATTTCAGGCGCTGAACCTGACAGTCGCTGCATCCGCGCGCTTTCCAGGCCACAGGTACGACAAGGCTCTGTGATTAGTAATTACTGGGGCCGCTGGCTAACGGATTGTTCTTCTGCACACTCTCCGCGTACCTTGGATGCCACACTCTGCAACCGTTCACGAAGCTTCAGGGGGGGGGAGGGGAGATGGCCTGTTTTGAACCCTTTCTGAACCTTTCTGTCACAACACTCGGGCACGCACGGAGGCATCGGTCTCAGCACCTGGTCCAGGCTGTCCTTGCTTGAAATGTCCGAGAGGGCACAGGAGAACGCACTGCAGTACAAGACGAACACAAGGAGCACATCCCAGTCGGGACCTCATCCCGGGAAAGCTGCAAGAGCTCCACGGCACGCTGTTGCAGCTCCACGTCGGCACTATCCTGGGCAGTTGCCCTCGGATACTCTTGGAGCGGCATCCGGAGTATCCGGAGTGTCTTCCCCAGCCTGGATCTCTTTGAGGAAACCGACCACCTCGCCCTTCAGCGCGTCATGGTTCGCATTGAGGATCTTCACCGCCGCAAGGACGAGGATGGCCTGAGTTGAACAAATGCAAAACTCCACGCGGCAGAAGACCCCGACCACTTCACAGCACTGCCATGCCTTCGTTTGGGGCGACCCTCTCTGGAAGTGGCGGTGAAGGGCTTCAAACTTCCTCAGCTCAGCCAACACTTCAGCCAACTTCACCCAACTGCCAGCTTCTTGCGAACCCGTCGCTTGTGGTGCCATTTGTGCCTGGGACGCGCACGCGCGGGGCGTCACACTTTGGGGCAGCAAATGGCCGAACTCTCCGATGAGGTACCTCTCGTCCAGGGCGCTCGCAGGTCATGGCAGTGAGTGCAGCAAAATAGGGCGCGCACACACACACACACACACACAATTCAAGGCTATCGGGATGCTACTGGAAGCTGCTCGACATGTTGCTTTCGAAGCCAGGCCACGCCGCCAAGCGCAGCAGTGTGTCATGGGCTGCACGCTGACTGGAAAGATTCTGGTAGGCCTCCAAGGGGTATGAATTAGATATATTAGATGCTTGCATATTCTTGCAGATCATCGCACCAAAATCTTGCGTGGTCATCTGCCCAACAGAACCCCCTCTGCTGCCTTGCTGGCTGCATGTCTTCTCAGTGCGTTCTGCTCCTCAGATGCAGATGTTTTCTTTGCATGTCTTTGGCACGTTCTGGCATGTCGGCCGTCACCGCCATCACAAGCGGCACAAAGCGGACCGGGCTGCCAACAGCCTCGGAGGGTCCGTCCTCGAATCCTGTGACCACCTGCAAGGCCAGGCATCTCGCCGAAGCAGAGAACCAGCGCAACTATAGTAATTGCTGGCAGGTACACTGCTGTTCGTCTGTCCATGCGTTCCCCTTGACCCCTTCCTTTTCCGGAGTGATGACTGCAATCTCCGAAATAAAACCAGATGATCTCCAAACCCAACACCCGGACATGCAAGGCGTCTCAAATCCGAGCCTGCACCACACGATACCAGACGTCATCTGACACCTTGGCTGCGCTTGTGGCTGCTTCTGGTGAGCGCGTGGCGGCTGCGGGGGAGCCAGTCTGCCACCCCTTGGGCCCCTGGATGTCCTTTGCACCTCGCGGCTGAGCAAGCCACTGCATCGGGAGCGCTCTCCAGCATTTTGAAGACGACCTGAAATGTTGCCCACTATTGCTTCCTTCCGTCCTCAATTAAAAGGCCGGAATTCTCGTCAACTTGTCCACTTGCAAGGCACATCCACATACCACCCGATGTTCTTTGCGTTCTTCTCTGCCAGGATGGCGATCTTAAGGACTAACTCCTGATCGGATTGACCGAAGGTGGTCTTGAAAACTCTAGAGGGGACTTCTGCAGCATGCGCAGCGTGTTAGAGCCAGCCTCTTGTAGTAAGTTGTCGCTGCCCCCGAGGATTTCCAGGAGCTGATCTACGATTTGTTGCCAGTTCTCCGGCCTCCGCGCGAAAGAACTGCGAACTGCACTCTGTCTGCAACTCTTCACACACAGGAGGTGTGATGAATGAATGGCGTTGTTCAGAGACTCAGTGTACACTGATGCGTTGTTTCTTGCGGGTTTCAGGTATGGTTTTGGATTCGGCCGGCGGCAGACACAGCATAATACAGAAAGTGGCTGCGGAATCTTGAAAATGTGTTGTGGGTGATTGTTTCTCAACACGCACATCGACTCAACATGTTGTTTTTTTATTTGTCGGCATCTTCTCGGGCCTGCAGTATGAGTGCCAATCCCGTGCAAACGCTTATTCACGCATATTGGACGGCCATGCCAATGTTGACACTCCGCGTGCGTTCAGCACATGATCAGCACGCCTTCAGCACGCACTTTATAGGCCTACATTCAGGTAGGATAAGGCACTCAGAACGCCGAGGCTCCAACAGCCATCTCGGGGCTCTCTCTCTCTGACAAAAAAAAAACAGAATCTTCTATTTCTCATAACGCTCGTACTAACAAGTACACGAAATGACGTCGAACCCATGCCGGCTCCGTCCCGGGCATGCCGCAGCGTTTGGGACTCGTTGACTCTTCCGCTTCTCATTAGGAAGCAGACGACTCGATGCCGCACCCACGCCGGCTCCAGCCGGAACGCAAAGGACCATCTGGAGATAATCCGAACCCGTGAAGAAAGCGCGTGATTTCCAGATACGGCTGACGATACTCTGTGGCATTGAGGGCTACAAAAAAAGAAGTAGTTTCTGATGGAGCCGTGCAATCATCACAGCACATGGCAATATACAAGACATTGAAACCAGGTGACAGCCGTTGTCATGCGTTGACTATTGTTTTTTCAACACATGTGGCATCCCAATTGTCTATCACTCATGTTCAACCTCACAACAATGAAACCTTTGGTTGAGGAGAGACTACAGTGACTACAGTGCCCGAGCCTGCAAAGAGCATAGAGCAAGTTCAAGGCCTGCATGCGATGCCAACAAGTTCGCAACAGCGAAGCGTTGCTCTACTAGTCTTTCTTGCGTCTTGTTGGGTGCCTGTCGGCGAATGGAGATATCCGTTTCATGCATCTTGTCCAGGATTTGATTCTTGTACCTGCCATACGCGCCAAATGCGCCGGCATCGAACACTTTGACTTTGCTAGAAGTCAAGAAGCTCACCCCATGCTAACCCCTTCCACTGGCTTGCCTGTCCAAGTACTCATGGGTGGACCTCTCATGGCGCGCCGGTTATCGGAATGTTGCGCATTTTGCGCTAGTTGCACTCGCGGGATCTGGGGAAGGGGCAAGTTGCTCGCCAGCCGGGCCATGGTCTCCAGGCCCAGGTACCTCGGCAAAGGAGCACAGGAGGAACACTACACTCCTCGGAACGTCGGTTCGAGGAACTAAAGAATACGAAAGTCGGGGCTAAAAGTACGTAGGGCGTACAAATATTCGCCCACGGCTCGAGTCTACTCTGGTGTCCTCCTGGCCTGATGTTCGGGTCCGTGGAGGAGAGGAAGATCCCAAGGAGGCCCGCGGCCGTCTTCGTGGTCTCCGGATCTGCCGTGTCCTTTCTACGGCAAAACTCATCTCAGTTCGCCGCCCGTTCTCATTATTCTTTTCACCCTCATAAGTTGCCTTTAAGTGTACGCGCCTCGAGGTGGATCATGAGATTCATGGCCTGAAAAACACGGTCCACGGGCCGAGCGCCGCAGGAGCGCGCGCGCGCGCGCGCGGAATCTCGGGATCTCCGCGTCCGCGGGGGCAAAGCGCATCTGCGCGCCTCGAAGAGGACGGCGTGCTCTGCGTTGGAGCGGTTTTGCCGCTCGGCGTCGACCTGACTTGGCTCTCATGGATGCGTGCGAAAGCAAAATGACCCGAAAGCAATGTCAAAGAGAGAGAGAGAGAAGAATGGCAAAGAAAAAGTCCTCCCTCAAACAAGCCCCGCGCCTTTGTGCGTCTCTTGGGGCCTGGTCAGGTACTTACGAGAAAGGGGTGCACACGGGGGCCAACGTGGGCTCATTCTGGGTTGGAAGTGGGCGTATGGTGACAGGCACATGGCTGTGCAAGCATCTCAGGGCCCGGCCCCCTTGTTGAACTGGTGCTGGGCTCCGCTGCGAGGAAGGTTTCGCCAGGATGCTCTGCAAGATTAAGTTCAGGCGATGCCTCACTGAGAAACGAACTCGCAACAGACTCTACGTGCAAAAGCGAGGTCAGCGAGCGTGTCAACACATGGGTTCACACTTCTCCCGTCTAGTCAGCACAAAGTCGTTGGAAATACGCGGGACGCGAAAGACTTCAGAACTACAAACAGCTGAACGGGACCAACTACAGTGACTGACTTATTCCTTGCAAAAAACTTGCTGGATTTGGCCAGTTACAGCATGGAAAAGTAACATCTGTATTGTATACCTACCGCGAACCTAGCGTTTTCCCAGCGCCACTTCGTTAAGACATGAGAAGAAAAAACCGGCCAAACCCATTAATGTACATTAAAAACTGAACAGACACGCGAACTTTGAACGCAACCCACTTGTCTATGAGTCTATGGTTGTTGCGCAAGGCTGCGTCGGCACACGAACGCCCGCGCAAGGATGGCATCTGCAGAATCCGAAGCCGCTTTGAGGGTCGGGCAGAAGCTCTGCATCAAACGTCGTAACTGGGAAGAACTGCCTTAGAAGCCCGCAACTTCCGCAACATGCTGCGCTTTGAAATCAATAGCGGCTCTGCCCTGGGGGCAGAGCAGGATGCGAAGCAGCTTGCTCTGCAGCCACGGCGCCGGCACGTGGTAGTACCTGCTCGATGCACCGAGTTCGCTTGAGCACGGCATGAGACTCGGGGTGGGAGGAATGATCTTCGCCTCCGCCGGTCGAAAAGCATCTGGCGCAAACAAACCAGGATCCGATCCCCTTCCACCCAACACACCCTAACCTCCTGAACCTCCTGAGCCCACAAAGACCCAGGCTTGTGGTGGTCCCACTTGGAACCCTTGAAACGCACCCTAAACTTCCCTAAACCTCCTGAAGCCCCATACCTCCTGAACTAGCGACATGTGACTTGGCTTTCCTGCTTGCCGAGGCGGCGTGTGCTCGCATTTACAATCTATCTAGATAAATGGTATTAAGTATCCTAAACAATACTAGGTTCAATAAGATGAACACATGACTGTGAAGTCACATTAATGGTCAGGATGTCTGGAGTGAGCGCACTCGTAGTGCTCGGGGCAGATGCCCTGTACCAGGTTGGCGAGAGACTGACAGACGGGGACCACCACGCCGGACCAAGCCGGAGCCTTGTGTCACAAAGAGAGAGAGAGAGAGAGAGAGAGAGAGAGAGAGAGAGAGAGCGAGAGCGAGAGCGAGAGCGAGAGGCAGAGAGAGAGAGAGGAAAGGGGCATCAGCTCCGGCAGCAACATGCCAGATTCTGCCGGAAGCCCACTTTTTTTCCGCATCGCCGCAGACATCCGCCGGCCGCGCCGCCGGCCGCTCTGCCTGTAGTTCCGCTCGCCGCTCCGCCGGCCGCTCCGCTCTTCGCCGGGCCACCTCTCCAAATTTGGCCGAACAAATCTGAACAATTCCCCCTTTTTCCACTATTTCCCCCAACACTGGAGGGAGAAGTGCCAAAATCGGCCTCAGAGACGACCACCGCCCGCCGGATCAGCTCCGCCTGCCAGAAATTAGATTAGATTCGATGAGCGGAGGCGAAAGCGGACTCGAAGAGCTCCGACGAACGTATGGAAACGTCAAGGAAGAGCCTTCCTTTGCTGAAGCTGCTCACGGGCGGATGCCTCCTGCACCTGAGCAAGATACAGCAAAAAAGGCCGTGTGAAACATCAGGGACTGCTCGGCAAGGCATTTTCTTGACAAGGTACGCAAAGCAGCTGCAGAGTGCCTCAGCGCATGCGGAATGCTCCTTCCCTCCAAGACGGAGACAAAAAACGCGAAGCGCCCAGAAGGCGAATTGAAGCTCTCCCAGACGGGCCTTCCAGCTCCCGCTTCTCGTCTTCCAACCTCGTTATTTTGCACGTGATCTTAGAATCACGACTCTTGCAGAGCGCCTATGCCATTTGCCACTGATGAGCGCTTGGCTTCCGGAGCTCGGCCTCTTTCTGGTTGAAGTCACGCCGGCAGCCCAGAAGGACGGATTTAGCTTCTGCCTAACGTGACCCCCATTGTACACAGCTCAGCAAGTGCTTGTAATCTTGATCACCACTATTGCATCGAGAAGCCAACATCTGCTGCGCCTCCATCTGTTCCGACTGCATGCAATGGATGTGACGTCGCACGTTCACTCAACACGCAAACACGAACAGCTGGGTGGGTGAGTCAAAGCTACCATGGGCGAGTGCAGCCTGTCCTTGGCCCCGGCAAAGACGCACATGCTGCCGCCACATGCGGCCAAGAACGTCTTTGAAACGAAGAGGTATGAGACACGTGAGAGAAGGTTTGATGAAACTGTGAGCTGTGAATTCTGCAGGTGTTGGGAGTCTGTGCACACACTTCACTACAAGTCACTGAGTCACTGAGGCATCAGACAACATAGAGAGATGAGAGAGATAGGTAGAGAGAGAGAGAGAGAAAGCAACCTGCAAAGCCAAAGGTCGGCGGCTTGAAGGAACAGCAGGGCAGCAGTGCGACACGCTGCAGCGCGCTTTCCGAGGCTCGCGGCCGGGAACTTGCCCATCTCCAGGATGCCCAGCATGAAGCCGCTGGCTGACCTCTCTCAGACTCTCTCACACTCTCTCGCAAGGCATCGCAAGGCCGAGTCGAGTTGAGCAAGGGCCCTCTTTGGGACTCATGACTCATCTCGACTTCGGGAACCGCCCCTTTGAGCGCCGAGCGTTAGAAGGCCAATGTCCTGTTCGTTGAACAGCGCAGCGAGCTTCGGGGACCAGACCTGCCAAGCAGCCCCCAAGCCGAGAAGCGCAGAACTGCTCAGAACGCAGGAATTTGGTGGCCGCCTCCGGCTGCAAACCATCGTTCTCCTGTGCAACGTTCTGCAATGGTTCTGCAACACTCCCCGATCAAACACTGCGACGATCGAACAGTTAAAGCCCCTATCAGACCTATCGTTTCTTTGTGTCGTTGCTGGCATCGGGCGCCACTCCAGCGGCTATTCAAAAATCAACGGAATCAAAAGCGCTGTCAAAGGGCCATCAATCATGAAGGATCTCACGAGCGTGTGATCAAGTCTTGAGCACCATCTTGATTTGTCAACAAAGCTTCAACTGTCTAGGGATCGAGGAGAGTAAATCGAGTAGGGGTTCTTTCATGTCTTTCGCATGCCTTTGAAGACGAGTCCCAAAGCAAAAAGAAGAACTTGAATGTCCCGGAGCCCTTACGGCTTTCGGCTCACGGGCAACGGCAGTCCTTGCGATAAAGCCGCAAAAGGCAGATGCAGGCTTTGCGCTTGATGTAGGGGGAGAGCCTCTGCTCTCAGAAGGGAAGGCGAACCCACAGGAGCCCCCTCCTCCCTGCCCTCAGCGAAATCATCGCATCCAGGCTGGCTTCTGGGCACATCTGGGCGCACAGCGAGCCGGACTGGGACAGGATCAAACGGGCTATGTCCGTGAAGAGGTTGTCCGCAAATTCTGGGCCTGCGCTTGAGAAGGGGGGGGAGGGGGGTGGGCATATCGTTTACATGTCAACAGGCATGGGGGCTTTTGTCTCAGTGCCGGGGGCTGGCCCCGGGCGCCGAGGCCCTGGCCGCCGATGTTCGCCACGGTGTTCAAGGCCAAGGCCGCCATGTGCTGACAAATTGGAGATGAAAGCCTTATTAAGCCTTCCAAGTCCTTCTAAAGCCTTCCAAAAGCCTTGATAAAACCTTTATAAAGCCTTCTCAAGCCTGGTCATGACCGTCTACCTCTGACCTCGTTGCCCGAGGAGATGTCGGTCTTCACGCTGTTCACGATCATCCGCACCATGTCATTGTTGTCTGCCAGAAGGAGTGACGTTGCCAGATACCTCACAGTTGGGAACACTGCGAAATCCAGAGGGCGTTTGCTAATTGACTGTTCGGTGACCGTCTGCGGGCGTGGCCCCGCGGTCTTCTCAGTGAACTTGGGGGAAGAGCACAACTCCACGGCCTTTCAAAGAGGAAATGGCAAGCAGTCTTTGAAAGCTCTGACCGAGAGACGCTTGACGAATCTGTCTTTACGATTGAGGTGACAATGGGCAGGCAAAGCCTGAAAGTGGCCGGTGTCGTCGATCTCGTAACCAAGCATGTATGCGTAGAGCAGCTTCCAGACGTACCTCTGTAAACAGGGAATATGAACCCTCTGCCGGCAGCCTCCGACTGTGGCGCGCTTCTTCCGGTCGTAGCCAGACAGAGTCTTGGGAGTGGCAAACTTCTGCCGGATTTTTGACAGCTCCTTTCGTGCTTGCGCATGGTCAAGGCATACCAAGGGCGAAACATTGCTCAATGACCCGGGGTCAAGTGGTGCAAGGCCTTCTCCACTCTTTGCCGCTCTTGCTCTTTTGTTTGGCAGTTGCGGATGTCTGCAATGAAGACCTGCGGAAGGCATTGCAGCAGGTCAGGCAGCAAGGCGTCGAGCAAGCAAACCAAGAGGCGCTTAGAACATGCATGCCAGTTCTGTCTAACCTTGCTCTGCCATTTTGTGTATCGGCCGCTGAGGGTACGGGTACCGTGATCCGGAAAGACAGGAGCCGAAAGTGAAAGCATGCAGCAACGTATCCTCCCAAACCGAAGCTAAATTTTAATTGAAAGTGAGGGAACTCAGAGAAACCCTTTTTCCGGCAAATAAGGCCTAAAATGGGATTGGCAACCGGACCAATGCCGTTCTCCTTTACACCGAAATTGACATTCTTCGCGGAAAGCGTAAAGTCAAGTCTTTCGTGGCTACTTTCGCTATGTTTCGCGGGGCCTATGTTCATCTTGTGGCAGCATGTTACGTATGCAGTGCTTTGGAACGCGTTGCAGCCAGCGCTTGTGGTGGAATGAAGGCATGTTTCTCGCGGACAAGTACTAGGAACTTTCGCGAAGAGTGCGAGTCTTTCGCGGCATCCCGTCATTCACGAATCAAGATCACAGGCTATACACATGTTCGTTGTTATAAGAAGTCGAAGACAAGGACCTTTTGAAGTATGCCGCACATCACCCAAATCATCAAAACTCCAAGACAAGGTAGTGTGGGGTTGGGGGGGGTGTGGGATGGGGTGGGCGGCCTGGAGACCCTTCATGTGGCTCGGGGAGTCGAATCCCAGGGTCTCCTGCGCGCCGCGCACGGCAGCCTCCAAGAATGCCAGTGGTAGCACACGAAGAGGAGAAAGGTTCACTCTCAAGCGAACTCTGAACGAGCGCCTGTTTAAAATTCTCTCAATAATCTGGCAACGGGGCCTTAACACCCTTCATGGTGGGCTTGGCTGGCTTTGGCGAGCTGAGACCTCAGGGCAGCCGGGCAGTCTCCAGATTCTGCAGCTGACGCCGAGTGCCAAGCGGTCTAGGCCATGTGATAGCGAGGGCCTCAAAACACGCGTCAACACACATCGCACTTCGCCAATGACTCAGCTGAACTCTGTTCCTCAGCCGAGGCTTTCACCTCTTCGGCCGCCCAGGAGGCCCGGCGTCCGACTATTGTCCAGAACTTCCCAACTCCCAAGGTAGAAAGGGACACACTTCTAGTGAATTAGCTGCGCTCACTCGCAATTCGTCCACAGGTGAGTCACTGTGCCTAAGTTCTTGAGCGATGGTAAATCCTGATCTGGTTTCCAGGTTCGACGAAGTTCGTTGGGCTAGCTGCTAGGTGTTGCACATAGCGGTTGGATGATGCAACTTGTAGTGCTGTCACCTAGCAGTTCTTGTTTGCGCTTGAACCGCGCTTTAGCTCACCACTTCTACTTCGAACTGCACATGGCCGGAGGAAAAATGTCTCAGAATACCCTGTGACCTGTCAAACCCGTACAGACTGTGCCTTACATCCCCTAAACCTGCAAACCCGCGTTTGAATTGAGACGACGGGCATTTGTGGGGGTTTCCATGGAGGGGGGGTGGGGGGGGGGGTGATAGGCCAAGGAGCCGAAATCTCTTTATTGCAGGCTTATATCGGGGAGTGAGCCTCTTAAACCGTGCATTGTGGATCCAGTGGCTAAAGAATGCTGCTCTGTTTGACCACAATCCCGGGCAGACGACCGCGTGTCTGCTTGTGCCTTCTTGCACTGTCTGCAGCACAGCTCTGCCCTTTCAGGACTTCTCCGAAGAAGAACAAAGCTTGCGCGCTGCATTCGATGGCTGAGAAAACATTCACATACTCGTTGCGTTCAACTAGACCACAGATGTCCGGAAAGAGTTACAGCAAATTTCTACAGCTGAAGTCCATCATTGGTAGCATCTGGACATCACCGTGACCCTCCTCCTCATCGTCGGAGCAGGCCCGGGATGCAAAAGCTCAAGGAAAGAAAAGCAGTTGGGCCCCGCAACCATGAAAGAACAACGACTTCCTTTCCAAAGAAGCACTTGCCAACGAACAAAGGCCGCAGGACACCTCCTGGCCGGAACAACTTACGCGGTTGCACGATGAGATGGCACCCGGCGAGCGCGACGAGTGACGAAGATGATGCAAAACGACGACACATGCTTCTGATGGTGATACCAGCGCCGACCCTTTCCACACGCCACTTTCAAAGACAAAACTGACGTGCACATGCCACACACGGGGCCACCCTATTTTCGAAACCAGAGCTGTTGGACCTGTCATATTCTATTCGCCCTCAACGCAACCATGAATCCATGAAACATGGTCAAACCGCAGCAACACTTTGAATAAGCCCTCCACAGCACTCTCGAGACAAACACGTGCAGGGCTTAGGGCTTAGGTCCGAGGGTCTCTCACCCAAAGCCAGCATCTTAATCTTTTGCCCGCAGCTGACAGCTCCCAAGTGCACTTCCAGTGTCGGGTGGTTGTCTCAACATGCTAAAGACCAAAAGTCCCTTGAGGAGAAGGTTTGGCGCACGCCAAGAACTTCACTCAAAACTTGAGAAGACGTTTAGACATTTTAGGCATCTCTCTGCTGGCGCAGAATGCCTGCTTGCCCGAGCAGCTCATCGTAGGACGACTCGGTCATCATGGACAACTTCTTCACGCTCGCAGCGCTTGGGAACCAGGAATGAGGAATCAAAGCAGTCAGCGCATTGAAAGTTGCATGGTCCAGACCTTCATCCTCATCGTCGTCATCGTCATCATCTTCTCTGCTTTCGAAAAGGCCGTCTTGCCGCTGCTTTGCAAGGATCGCGAGTCTCTTCTGGCGTATACGGGGATCGGAGTCGTCCTCCCCAAGCAGAACCTCACAGTAAAGTACTTCACCAAGGATGTCCGTCTCTTCCTTACAAGCTGATGGGACACACGTAGAGTCATGTAACCATCCCGCTAGGGAAATCAACATGGATAGTGCTGCATGGCTAGACGAAACGTTTTCCAAGTTTGCCATTCCAGCCGGAGCTACCAGAAGATGACGCGGCGATTCCTTCCCTGTGGAAAGCAAGGGAAGTGCTGCCTCAACAAGGCATTGGGATGGGGGTTGAGGTGCAAGCGTTAGGATTTAGGGCTTAGGGCTCGTCTCTTGTCAACTGGGTGCAAGAAGACAAAGTGCTCTCGCTACTTTTTCGATTTGCAAAAGGTGGGGCTCCTCCAATTCTTCAAATAGCCTTTGGAAAGCAAAGGGAAATTGGATGAGATTTTGCTTTGCGGATTCCAGACCTTCCTTGGGGTGAAGCCCAACCGAGCTCTTCCGGGCTGGCGAAGGCTGCAAAAAAGTCCCCCATTGGCCCATGACGGGAAAGACAACTTGCACAAGGATGCCTCTTGAAACCGTAGGGCTCCCAGGTCAGACAGGTCAGACAGGTCAGACAAGTCAGACTCCTGGGGCGTGGAGCTTGTGGAGCTTGTGGAGAGCATGGCTTTAAAGCCTCTCCAAACTGTGCCCCCCAGAGCCACAAGTGGGGGGCGATCACATGGGGGCCCCATCGGCTTTATGTCAGCCGCGGCCCCAAAGCAGGAAGCATGAGTGTTGTCAACCGAGCTCGAAGGACGGAACCCTTCCAAGACAGATCCCGTGTGACTTGCAGGGAACACAAACCCTCCACAGTTCAATGTGATCCAAAATGGGAAGGGCCTAAAGGCAGCATCGTTTTACACTTCTCTGCTGGTTGCATCGTTGGGATCTCGCAGAGACCAGAGGGAACTGAGCTCGAGGCCAACAACACTCACAACTAGGCCAAAGCCCGGTTGAAGAGTACATGTCCTGCCTCTGCATATCTGCACAGGATATAAGAAACAGGCCAACTCCCCTCAGTGTAAAGTCAATTTCGGGTGGGATTTGGGAGGGAAAATTGAAATCTTTCAGGTGGACTGAGCCAAAGGCTTCAGTCACCGAGTCGTGTTTGTGCCTATGCACACACCTCTCACAAGGTCTGTGCAACATCACAAACCCTCCACAGTTCAATGTGATCCAAAATGGGAAGGGCCTAAAGGCAGCATCGTTTTACACTTCTCTGCTGGTTGCATCGTTGGGATCTCGCAGAGACCAGAGGGAACTGAGCTCGAGGCCAACAACACTCACAACTAGGCCAAAGCCCGGTTGAAGAGTACATGTCCTGCCTCTGCATATCTGCACAGGATATAAGAAACAGGCCAACTCCCAACGTCGCAACTCAAATTCAACAACACAAGACTCCCAACGATGCAGCTTTAGGCTTCGTCTTCCTCACATTCGCGAGCTACCTCACTCCAGAACACTCCCTCATCCAGTGCATCAGGATCAACATAACGGAGGATTGCAGCACTGCGCCACTGCCCCATCTGCATGATGACATGCGTTGGGCAACCAGCTTTTGCAAGGGCAGTTGCTTTGCCCGCCCTGAAAGCTTTGAACCCAAAATGCCCTGCATCAGGCACGCCGAGCATAGTAAGCATATCCCGAAATCTCTTCAGCATCTGGCCCGGGGACCATTTGAACAACTGCTGCCCCGTGGTCAAACCATGCAGACGCTGCTTGAGACGATGAGAAATGCAGAGCTCATCCACTCTGCCCCTCGTGCATGTGCAAGGCCTCGTCATGTAGGAACCGTCCGGCATGTGCTTGCGCTGTTTGAAGCGCAAGTGGCACGTAAACTGCTCATCTACCCATAATGCAGAGTGACGGCCCGCCGGCAGCAGATGCTGCTCGCTCGCCTCCCCGCACTGAACTGGCACGGCCTCAGATTGCACTCGCAGCAAGAACTGCCAAGCGAGCAAGTACAGATCGGCATCAAGGTCGAAACCAACCATTCCGTCACACAGACGCAGAAGCTGTGACAGCAGGTGTGGTGTCATCAGCGACACTGCCTTGAGCAAGCTCTGTCCGGCCACTCTCTCTGCCTTCTTGAGGCCCTGCAAAGCCAGGTTAACCTCTTCAGTCCGCCAAGCTAGAGCCAATGCATGAAACTTGCAGGCCCACGCAATATAGCCCACATAATTCTTGGCTGTGCCTGCTGACGAAAATAGCGCCACAAACCGCAACACGTCTTCTGGACGTTTGGGCGGAAGAGTTGCGCTTGCGTCATAGCCCAAAAATGACACAGCAAAGCTGTGCCATGCTTTCAGTCCTGACGCCAGCGATGGCCCACTACCTTGCTGAGAGGACAACTTCAGCAGCTGAGCTCTGTTATCCAGCAATTGCAGTGAATGGCTGGCCTCTTGATTCGCCCAGGCCCTCATTGCAGCCCTGGGACCTCTGGCACCCTTAACTTGCGCAACTTCGCAGGCTTGCGGTGCATCACGGCTGTCCTTGACGAGGTCAGCCACGCTTCCCGCAGACACATGAGTGGGCCTCTCTGAACTGATTTGGTCTGCCACTCGTTTTCGATTGCCCTGCGCCTTCGCCCTTGCAGCCGACAGCGCTGCGCGAAGCAAACATCGTTCTTTCTCATTTACGGAAAACCGCATCACATCCGAGTCCAGGAGGCCATCCAGGTGTTCTGGGAAAGCGAAGCCTCGGCCAACTAGTTGTATCGCTGCACGAAGATGCCACACAGACGACGTCGCCTGGCCATCAACAGAAGTCAGCCAATCAGCCATCCCCTGCACCTTGTTGCGGAAATCGTCTGGTCTGAGGCCTGCCATTGGGTGCCGGTGCCGCGCTTGAGACACGCTACCTGGAATTGCTCGCCACCTCTTGACCAGCTGCAATCGGCGTTGGTGTAAACAATCACTCAGCCCTGCCCACACTTCAGGTGTGGACAAGACAAAAAGTGCCCCAGATATGAGCAAGTCCTCCTTGTCCAGCTTTAAGCTCTCAGCAGCCTGCAAAGCATGAGTGACTGCCTGCATATCTCGCACCGCGAAGGCTCGCAGGATTTCTTGAACCCATTGCGAGGCCAGCAAAAAAGACGACTTGACTGTCAGCCGAGCGCTGCTAGAGCCCGCGGACGATGGCAACGCCATCGCGTTGATGTCACCTGTCAGGGATGCGTGCACTCCATATCAAATCCCGCAGGCACACATCAACACACATCAATCAGAATGTGACGAGACAACACACACACACACATATGACATATGACATACGGCACTCCGATTCATCCCTCGTTTTCACAGCTCCAGCTGTCACAAGGGCACTGTCTCGGCTCCATGCCACATGTTCCACACCCAACCCGGAATGACAGGAGGGACCCATTCGGCCTTCAACTGTTTCACCCCTTCAAACTCCTCCCTTGTGGGCCCATCTGCCACATTCGACGCAGATTCAACCCTGGCACAGTGAAGGTCAGTCTGAAAGGATGCGACTTCAAGCCAAAGACGTCCAATGCAAGCAAAGGACTCAGGTCCTCCCCCACCTCCACGGGTCAAGGCGTGCATGACTCCATCATTATCTACAAAAGCCAACCACAGGGCACCTTTCAATTTATCTTTGAAAGTTTCCCACACAAATAAAACTCCCAGTAACTCTTGAAAGCCAATTTGGTGGTCACCTCTGTCAAGCAACAGACTCCACACAGAATCTGGTGTCTGGAGGCGACTCCACCAAAACCGCCCACCCACGTGGACCACTGCCGCCACCCAGCGGGAGGCACCGGCAGCATCGGACCACGTGACAACACAAGGACGGTCGCAAGCACGTCCCTTGCGTGTTGTAAGCGGTGGCTGGCGCAAATAATTCGTAAACCACACAGCAGCCCTGTGAAGCCAAGGGGACACAGCGCAACCAGGTAACGGGGCATTTGCTTGCGCAAAGAAGGGCTTAATGTAAGCCCGCCCCACCCGGTTTCCGCTAACAGTGACTGCAAAGGACAAGCGGCCTGCAAGTTTCGACGCATCCCCGGCCGAGAGAGTTTGAGAGTGGAGCATGGCATCCAACTGTCCAACATACTTGGCCGCTTTGGCTGGCTCAACCTGCGTGGTCACTAATCGCTCAGAAAAATCAGCCCGCACAAGCGCTCCAAGAACTAGCATCGTCTCAGCAAAATCACTATCTTTGGCTGGGTCAGTAGGAAAACCCACCAGACTCGCCAGGATCGATAACACGACACCTCCGGACAGCGCAACGCCGACACGGCCTACGCCGAAAAAATCATCTACGTATCTTGCAGACGGAGCACGGAACAGGCGTCTGACCAACGTTCTCAACACGTGGCCCACCCTGTGCCAAGCGTACACAGCCGACACGGTGCCGAAAGGCATGCCTTTGTGCTGCGCCACGAAGAGCAGGCCACGATCCATCCAAACAGCACCTGCAAACTCCAGATGTGCTGCTTTTACAGGGACTCTGCGGAACGCTTTGGACACATCCCTTTTCCACATGTGGACCGGAATTCCTGCGTCAAATAGTCGGAGGATCAGAGCCACCAGGACGTCCAATGTGTCATGCTTGATTTTGTCAACTGGAGCCGTGGCCGCGTTGACTCCACTTTCTGTCTCGTGATCCACTACGCGCGTTCGCCAGCCTTTTGCCCTCAATTCTCTCACAGGGATTCTCCGCGTGAGTGTCAAAGATTCCAAGTCACGAGGCACAAGCAGGCGAGGCTGCGTCATGGCACCCAACTCTGCGTCATCAAGCACTTGCGGCGTGACATCGTGCGAAAAAGGAAGTTCTTTCACAGCATTAACAACACATCTATTGATCACAGCACGATTTTCCCTCAGTTCAGCGACAGTCATCCCTGCCTGGAAGACTCCCTCCTCAGAGCCTCCTTCGCACCGAGGAAGCTGCCCCACCAGCGGAAATCCTTGCTGAAGATCGTTGACAAAGTCATCAGCTTCAATGCCAGCCATGTTGGCCAGACATCGCAGCAATGGTCCATGAATGCGTCTAACCAGGTCATGCAACGCAGGAGGCGCACCCTGGACCCACAATGACCGTTCATGCTCAAGTTGCACGGCAAAGTACATGATTTGCTTGAGCTGCTGTTCCCGAAATTCTTGGATTTCTTCAACGGAAGATAGACATTCAAATTTGACTGCTTCTTCCAGATCAGGCTCGAAAACTATTGGAACGGCAGCAGGGTGTACAGCCTTCAGAGCAAAAGCAACATGCTGCATGTGAGAGAGGCCACAAGGTGCGCCCAAGCCATGTGGAACCACAAAGCGCAAGACCTGCGGTACATCCCACACAGCAACTTGGGCATTGCACAAAGCCGGAGGCAAGCAAAAGCTCTCACTCCTCTCGGCCCCTGCAGGCATATCCCAACACCCTTTTAAAAGCTCTGCCAAACGGAGACACAGCAAAGGCGGGTAGGTTTGAAACAACATGGTCCTAAACACCCACCTGCGGCCATCTTTCACCCGACCCTTTCGCGAAATGAGGGGCCCTCTCCAGGGAAAAGTGACACTCGCCGCGCTGTGCCAGTTCGGGACATTATGCAAAATTAAAACCGGCTTCGTGAATGGAACCATGTAATCTGAGAACCTGACCCGCACAAAATGTACGCCAGGCAAATCCCGGACTTTACGAAAGCATGGAAGCAACCACAGCCAAGAAAGCTCAGGATTTTCTACGGAAAACGTCGCGCCTACACTCCATAACTGTATGCACAGAGCGGCCGTGAAAGATGCCAAATCATTCCCGGCCCGCACCAGAGCATCTTGCTTGCTTGTCAAGCCAGGGAGTCCTAGCGGCCACTCCGTGGACCTGAGCGCTGGCTTCCTATCCCATGCCATCGACTGACGTGGCATGCCAAAATGCATGTGACGGACGCGGCCTCCTTTCACGGCCTGAAAAAGCTCATGCCCATGCGTCAACACGTTGCACTCTGCAGCATATAACACATCCCACGGCTGAGCGCAGGGAATTGAAAGGCTAAGAGCAGCTGTCGTCAGCACAGCTTTTCCTGCAAAACACTCCAGAAATACGGGCTCTGGCCACTCACTCAGCTCAATTCCGGCCACGCTCGGTAGCTGTTGCAGATGGCCAGGCAAATCCCAGCTTCCAGCCTCCACCAAAGTGTCTTGTCAGTACTGCTGGCCTTGTCGCTGCTTTTGCTCTTTCCTCTGCTGCTGCTCCTGGCGTCGCTGCTTCATTTTGGCAAGCCACTTCTGAGTTTTGAGGGCCTTCTTCGAAACGGCAGACTCCCCATTCGGCACGGCTCGTTCTGTGTCAGCCATAGCCCTACTCTGCTTAAGGATCTGCTGCTGCGCCTCAGCCAGCTGCTTGGTGGCCTTTTCCGCCTGCTTCTGCGCTGCCTCTGCCGCAGCAAGCTGGCGCGACACAAGAGGGTCTGCCAATCCGCGCGCCTGCGACGCGGAAGCAATGGGAGGGTCTTCCACTGCACACGTCAGGCCCGCTTCTTTCAACACTTCCGTCATTCGGTGTCTGGCAATGTCCAACAAATCTTTGTCCACAGTCATGGCTTCCTTGGCAATGTTCAATCCAGGATCGCCCTTGCCAGCGCGTCTGGCCCAGCTTTTCCTGAGAAGCTCTTCGTAAAGAAAGGCAAGAAAAGGGCGATTTCCCTTCATTCGCTCCTGCTCAGCAAGCTGCAGCACAATGTCCATGTGAGCAAGGACAGTCTGCCATGACAGCTGCTCTGTGGCAACAGCCACGACGGCATACCTAAGGAAAGCTCCACTCCACTGAGACACCGTGCGGAAGAACCGAGGTGAAGCTGTGGCACTCTTCAATGCTTTTCCCAGATCCTGCAGCGATGCAATGGGGGCATGTGCCCGCAGAGGCCAATCTCCATCATCGTGTAGCTGAAACTTGCCTCCAATGACGTCAGGAGTGAGCCACATGGGAAGCATTTCTTTGGATGTGAGATCGATAAAGAGAAAGGGCGTCCTTGTAGCGACCTTGCACTCCTCAGTGTGCTGCTGCATACTGTTCCACAAGACTTGCTCGGCCTGCAAGCCAAAGGAAAGGCCTTCCATCCCAGCCTTCTTCAAAAGACTGGCAACGTCTGCAGTCTTTCCAGGAGCAAGGAGCCTCGCAAGGCCATGCGCTGAGGCACCGGGCACTCCACCGGCTGTGACCGCATCATTAACTTGTGCTGCTCGCTTGGCTTGCGCGACAACGTTCACTGCACGCAAAACTCTACGTACGCATGCTTGTACTGGAAGTTCTGCAGGCAGTACTGACGACACCTGCTCCTCAGTGTAGCCTTCAGCTAACTCAGGATTGGGAACTTTCAAGGTGTCAGTGAAAAATTTGATCACCTCTGTCAGCACTGCATCTCCTGGGGAAGGATTCTCCACTTTTGCAAGGAAATCGGCCCAAGAGGAAGCCATGGCCCACAGTCCGAAAATTGAAATCTTTCAGGTGGACTGAGCCAAAGGCTTCAGTCACCGAGTCGTGTTTGTGCCTATGCACACACCTCTCACAAGGTCTGTGCAACATCAAAAATGGGGGGGGGGGGGGGGGGGGGGGGGGGGTATCCGAGAACCGAACCCCAAAATTCTTCAGAGCCCCCCCTTTTGCCCGGAACACCGCACCAAAAAACACCCTTTCCCTGTGCCCTTTCCCTGTGCCTTCAAGAAGCGCCGCTCGGGTTCAAGCTCCAACCTGGCCGTCCCTTCGAGAGTCTCGAGGCCGAAGCCTGAAAAGAAGTAGACCAGGTGAGTCACAAAGTACATGGTGCGATACAGCACTTTGGTGTCCATTTCCTGCGGGTCAGGGTAGGGTCGGATTTTTGTCCTGAGCACCGACATGAAGTCCTCATAAACATTTGGCAGCTTCCAGCCGCGACTTCCCAGACACTCAGTGATATTGAGACCGGTAACAGACTTGTCAAAGAGGTGTATCACAAGGTCTTCGAACTCCATGATGGCTTTGCTGGCATTTTCATGAGACCAGCTAAAATGCAAGCCGTGGCCGTAGTCGAGGAATAAGCTGGTGCCGTACACCTTGGACAGGACCCGTTCAACGTCCTCGTCGCCATCCACATCAAGCGAAGAAGCAATTCTGCGGCAGGCGTCCATAAGCTTGGCTTGCAGTGGATCTCTGCGGTAGCCTAGAAACGAATGGAGGTAGAAGATCTCCTGACTGGCTTTGGCCAACTCATGAAAAGAAGACGCAGCCGCCAACGAACGTTCTGCATGCCTCTGAAGCTCTTCTCCGCATCGGCGCTCAAATCTGTTCAGCGAGGGGCGAAGCTTCTTGCCAAGCTTCGGGATGATCATGAAGTTCGTAAACCCATCGAAAACCTTAGAGTCTTAGAGCCCACCGCGGAGTCCACCGGACAACATCTGAGCACCCTCTCACTCTCAACCCCCCACCCAAACGAAAATCCCAAACTTTCTTGAAGTCAGGCAATCCAGCAACATCCTGGTTCCTTCTGCACTCGCTGTCATCTAAGCGGCCTGCGAACGCCTCGATGGCGCGGTGGATTGCTCCCTTCAGCAGAGCTTCTGGTGCTTTGGCACCCTCCGCCCGTGATCGCCCTGCATGGAGTTGAAGCAGCGCTGTCGTTTCGTTGGCGCTGTCTGGAGCCCGCGTCGCCAGGCCCAGGCTGGCAGAGTTGCAGAGAAGAGCGACGATGACTCCAGAGATGGAAAGAGGGACGGCTGGGCGAAGCTGACAGAATGCCTTCATTCGACACTGGGGTGTCTCTGCGTATCTTCAACTCGGCGGAACGATGGTCCCTCGTTAAAACTTAAAGTCAGTGGACCCGTTTGACGCCACTCGAGGATGACAGTATCGGAAGCCGTGCTGAGCCACTGTAGCTCTGGCATGCACAACGATTCCCCGACGAACCCCTGCAACACCCTGCCACAAGTCGTTCTTCATCATTTGTGCGGTGTACTCCCTGACAGAACCCTCTGTAAACGTCGTGTTTCTTTCAAGACGAAAGCACAGCTACGACTGAGCATATCTGTTAGGATTGTCTTTGAGATCTTACGATGTGCTGACGAACAAACAGGATCCTGTCCCATCTGCCAATGGAGCTTGCAGAGGCTCCTTTTTCTTCGGGGCGCGTCTCGAGGCTGAGCCGTGGCTCCACTCACTTTCCGAGGTGCTTCATCATGTAGTTGTAGGCCTCCCGCCGCTCCGCAACGTTGGGTGCAGATCAGTGCTCAACACATGAACCCTTCGAGAAGAGTCTGCGGTCTCGAATCTGCCTCACCCTCCTCGCCGAAGTCCACCACAGCCACGCAGCTGGCGCCGACGACCTTACTAACCGATTGCTTTGGTCTGCAGAAGCTGGGCATGCGTTGCCAAGCCTTTCTGGGCATGCCATCCTTGTCAATCTTGCAGAGGCCTGCGAACTGAAGCTGTGGATGCTGTTGGCAAGCGCAAGAGCACAAGGAAACAGCACAAGGTAACGTGAGGCTTGCAAGGGGTCCTGCCCACTCGCCCAGGCTCTTGTTGTCAGGCACATCGATCACAGGCACGTTCTTCTCGACGCACAGGCCCTGGCAGTACTCACAAACTGCACAGGTTTGCAGGTCCGTATCCTCCCAGATCCACTTATCAGGCCTGGATGAGCTTCTTGTAGGTGGCTTCGTTGCAGGACTCGGCCAGGAACACGACCTGGGCCTTGCAGGCCTCGATGTGCTTGGCAACCTTAGTGCTTGCAGAGGTCCTCAGCGAGAGCTCTGACACCTGAATCCCCCCCCCAACCCCCCACCCGAAACAAGCCGGCCTCGTGGAGGCCCCGGATCACGCCGTCCACCATGAGGGACTTCTTCAGCACGCCACGCACGGCTCCCATGAGGTCGGTCACCTAACGCCCAGAAGACCCAGAAACCATCCTGCATTATCAAATCATCGGTGAACTCAGATCTCCCAATTGCGGATAGGTTTGGGTCAGGGCACCTCCTCCTCCGGCTCGGCCTCGGGAGCGGCGACCTCCTCATCCTCAAGCGCGTCAGCCATGACCTCGCAGCATCAGCGTCTTGCACACCCTGCCGTGTCCCTGCGGGGTTCCTGTAATCTTCAGCGGCTGGCCGGACGTGCGACGACCAACGGCACCCACTAAGAGACGCTCTCCGAGCCTAAACGACAACACGCACCTGGCTGCAAGCCTCACCACTTCGTGGGCCGAGGCCACTGCGGGTGCTGTGACTGATTATCTGCCAACCCCCGGTGAAGACCGCCCGACGGCCATCTACGGATTGTGTGATCTTCTCTTGATTCCACCCGCCCTTCTTCTACAGGGGTGCTGACATTCCCACACAACGGGGCATTGCCCATCCTCCTTTCCCGGCTCTCGTTCTATGCATTTGGTGGTCTTGTCTAGAACCCAGGGCACTGCTTTCCAACGAGTGCTTTCCCTCCTCCACCCCATGTTCTCTCTGCTGTCCGTGCCCGGATCCCTCCGATTGCCCTGGCAACACCAACAGAAGAGCAGAGAGGCCAAAGAGTCCCCCAAACTGCAGCAGGAGAGGCCTTTAGCGTCTTCACGTGGCACCTCTCCCGGCTCTCGCGGATGTGAGCTGAAGAACCCCCAATGAAGGTGCGTCCCCCCTCCGTCCCATCTGCCAATGGGGCTTGCAGAGGCTCCTTTTTCTTCGGGGCGCGTCTCGAGGCTGAGCCGTGGCTCCACTCACTTTCCGAGGTGCTTCATCATGTAGTTGTAGGCCTCCCGCCGCTCCGCAACGTTGGGTGCAGATCAGTGCTCAACACATGAACCCTTCGAGAAGAGTCTGCGGTCTCGAATCTGCCTCACCCTCCTCGCCGAAGTCCACCACAGCCACGCAGCTGGCGCCGACGACCTTACTAACCGATTGCTTTGGTCTGCAGAAGCTGGGCATGCGTTGCCAAGCCTTTCTGGGCATGCCATCCTTGTCAATCTTGCAGAGGCCTGCGAACTGAAGCTGTGGATGCTGTTGGCAAGCGCAAGAGCACAAGGAAACAGCACAAGGTAACGTGAGGCTTGCAAGGGGTCCTGCCCACTCGCCCAGGCTCTTGTTGTCAGGCACATCGATCACAGGCACGTTCTTCTCGACGCACAGGCCCTGGCAGTACTCACAAACTGCACAGGTTTGCAGGTCCGTATCCTCCCAGATCCACTTATCAGGCCTGGATGAGCTTCTTGTAGGTGGCTTCGTTGCAGGACTCGGCCAGGAACACGACCTGGGCCTTGCAGGCCTCGATGTGCTTGGCAACCTTAGTGCTTGCAGAGGTCCTCAGCGAGAGCTCTGACACCTGAATCCCCCCCCCAACCCCCCACCCGAAACAAGCCGGCCTCGTGGAGGCCCCGGATCACGCCGTCCACCATGAGGGACTTCTTCAGCACGCCACGCACGGCTCCCATGAGGTCGGTCACCTAACGCCCAGAAGACCCAGAAACCATCCTGCATTATCAAATCATCGGTGAACTCAGATCTCCCAATTGCGGATAGGTTTGGGTCAGGGCACCTCCTCCTCCGGCTCGGCCTCGGGAGCGGCGACCTCCTCATCCTCAAGCGCGTCAGCCATGACCTCGCAGCATCAGCGTCTTGCACACCCTGCCGTGTCCCTGCGGGGTTCCTGTAATCTTCAGCGGCTGGCCGGACGTGCGACGACCAACGGCACCCACTAAGAGACGCTCTCCGAGCCTAAACGACAACACGCACCTGGCTGCAAGCCTCACCACTTCGTGGGCAGTGCGGGCCCAGGCCACTGCCGGTGCTGTACTGGGGTGACTATTTGCCGGCCTGGGTCGAGTGTGTAGCCTTTTGGGGGTGTTGAAGTGTAGGGCCTATGCGGCATAGCGGAATTTGGGATTATTTCGCCTATCTCCAGCTGGGCAATGGCGTCGTGCAGCGGACTGTTTTCTTTGGGTGCTTAGAGCATCACACGCATCTTGACACCTGCCGGTCAGCCAACAAGCATAGAAGACTTGAGCATGTCGGACAACGACGTTGCAATCAAAGTGCAATTGTATCTGCGAGCCGGTTGAAAAAGCAAGAAGAAGGCAAGACGACGAAAAAGAGCAAGAACAAGAAGAGACATGAGTAATTAAATTGAGCAAAAGCAACGCAACAGCGATGCAAAAGCCACCGTTCTTCCAGACGTACTCGGGCTGCTTGGCCAAGCCGTCTCGACGGTCCTCCACCTTTCGCTGCTTTCGCAACGTTCGCAATGGAGACTTTGTGAAAGAGAAACCATGCACAGCTCGCCATGCGTCGCCTCCTCGCGGCGCTCCAAGTCCTCGACAATGCGGTCCCACCTAAGACTTACAATGAGGCAAAGCTATGCAAAGCTGGTGTCTGCATCTTTCTGCCGCTTCTCAGAACAGAGTTGCTTTCAGGCGCGGGCTTGCTGTGGTCAAAGCTCCGCACCTGACACACCGCCAAATGCCACAGATCACAGCCCCAAGTCGCGCGATGGCAGCTGAAGCGAGTGCTGCATCCCTCACGCTCCCGACGCTTCCTGGCCAACTTTGCAGGGTGCTGGGAGTGCCTGACCAGGAACAGCTGTGCCCAGGTGGTCTGTGCCCCTCTCTTGTACCACGGATCGTTAACCCTCAACTTACCCTGAACGGATCTGCGTTGCGGAGCACCTCTGGAGGTCTCAAAGCAGCCAGCACCTGGCTGTTGCAAACAGACCGACCGACTCGAGAAGGTCACAGTGTCGCAGAAATCTGCCATTGGCATCTGCCTGCTCGGTGAACTCCTCCTGCCTGGCTGCGTCCTGCAGTGCCAGGGTGCGCACCAGGTGCTCGCAGGGCTCGCAGAGTACAGCACATGCTCACGACGTAGTGTACTTTGTTAGCTGCAACTGCCAGAAATCAGCTTGGCTCCAGCCTCGGCACTCACAAAGGCGTCAGCGCACCTATGCTGCAAGCGCTAAGGCCACTAAGGACCTCTGAGCTCTCTCTGAACTCATCTTATCATATCTCTCCTCTCTTTTTGCCTCTTCGGGTTCAGCTCTCCAATTCATGGCCTCTTGGGTGCCACTTTGCCAGGGCTCGGCGGTGCCAAGACGTGCGCAGCAATGAAAGCCTCAAGCGAGAATTGACGGAGCAGAAATGCCTCTTCCACAGTTCTCTGCATTGTTCTGTGATGTTCTGACCACCGTTCTGCGCCGCTGTGAGCCGCTGCCATGACTACAACGCAATGCCGGGGGGGCAGCGCCAAGCTTGCGAAAGCCTCGCTTTGTGGCCATCTCCTCCGCATGGGGCTCGACACCCTTCACTGGTTCGCGCTTCAAGTTCAGGTTCAGGCATTCACTGCGCAAGGCTCTGCTCGAATCGTCTGCTCTGTGCTACGAATGCTGTCAGGGTCTCCCGTCACTTTAGCGTGCTTCAACGAACGCACTTGAGCTCCTCCGCGGTGAGCCCGTGACAGTTCCGAATGCCTGGGGGTGCATAGGCCTGGCCAGCGCAGCACAAAATAGCTCGACACCTCGATCGCGGCTGACGTCGTTGAGGTCCTAAACTTCCTCGTAAACCTGGAAGCACCGGCGAGTGAGCCCTCGGTTTCTGCACTGCTTTTGCTTTTTGTTGATTCTGTTAACTCCCTAAGCTGCAGGCGTGGGTGCTCCCCGGAAACGGATGCTCATGGTGGTCAAAAGGGTGCCAGCAAGCAAAGCTCAAGACCCTGAAGGCGGCCATTCGCGGCCCCTCTCCCCTTTGACCTTTTGTCGGCATCCACTCAGAACCCTCGGCCGGTAATCCACAAATCGTTTCTGCGGCTTGCTGCTGGAGCACCGGCCTGGGAACCTCTTGGGAGTCCCCTGAACCTTATGAGAGGCCTTTATGCCCTTGTGGAGTCCCCTTGAGCCTGAGCCGCTGCAAGGGACTCCAGGCCAAGAGCATCGAGCTAGTGTTGAAGAGAGGCGTTTTTTCGTTTGCAGAGTATGTAGGGTCGCATGGGGAGTGGGGCTGCACTGCTTCAAATGGCCAAGAAGTCAGGATTTGGGGCGCACAGCCCGAAGTTTTGGGCTTGGCGTTCCCTGTGAGGTTTTTTCAGGGCAGGGCTACTGAGGTGTTTCAGCAGTGCCTCCAGGAGCATCCTGCAGACGTCTTCGTGCCCGCCATGCGCCGCAAACATCAGGGCCGTGCTGCCTACCACTGCACAGCTCTTTGTTTCAATCACATATCGGCACATATCGGCACTCTCTGTTTCAAAACCGCCTTCCTCATTGGCCGCTGCTGGATCGGCTCGCAGCTCCAGCAGCAACTGCGCAATGCGGCGCAGGTTGCTGTTGTGAGTCGGACAGTGCAAATGTGCTCACCCCACCGAGCCCTGTGATGAAGCGATGGAGCGGGTCCGCAGGAATTTTCAGAGGACTTTCTCGCGCCACCTGCACCAAAGGCTCGTCGCCACGGTGCGCTGCAAAGAGCAGCGGCGTCTCAGAGCGGGTGTTACCGGCGTTCACATCCGCTCGGGCCTCACACTCAGCGACTCGAAACATGAAGAGACTCGGGAAGAGATTCGAGCAGATCGATTCGAAGAGTGACGCGGAGAGCGACAAGCGCCTGCACCAGCTTCCTTGCCACCCTGTGGACCTGCCAGATGGCTGAGATGTGGCCAATGCGGGTCCCCAAGCCCAAAACAAAATACCTTGAATCTGAAGGCTTTGCTAAACTGCTAAGCCAGAAGGGAGGCGGCCGCCAGAACCCTGTGTGTTCTCTCGCGAGAGCCCAACCCCAAACTGCAATCGGTCTTCTGCAACCGGAACCTCCAGTCGCATGGATGATTCCTGCGCAGTGAGAAAGAATGAATAGCAGCAGGCCACTGTCATGATTCGCATGACTCGCTGGCTCCTCACGCCACTTGGTCTTGGCCAGCAGGTGCAAGGGCTGCTCGCCACCTCGCACTGGCTCCGACTTGCTCCGATTCGCTCTGCATTTGGCTCGAGCCCGGGGCCTTCGGCCAAGGACGGGTCCGCCCCGGCCTCTGCAGCAGTCACGTCACTCCACGTTAATTGAGGCCTACGATGGCTTGCAAGATCTCTTTCTTGAGTGTCACCTCCAGCGCAGCCTCGGCAGTCCTGAAAAGCAACGCAAAATCCGGCTCCCATAAGACCCCTCCCCAGCGAACAGGAATCCCCAACAAAAACGGTCGTTGAAAGTTGAAACAGCGTTTATGGAGACTGCGACTCTGGGAGCCTGATGGTTGAATTCCTTGCGACTCATGGACGCAATCCCTGGAACTCTGCGAACACTGGGTCTGTGCTGCCCCGCCAACCCTACCAACCCTACCAACCCTTCTCTGCCCTCAAGCCGAACCAAGGTACGCGGTCGCCGCGCAGCGTTCACCATACGATGCGCAGCATTCCCCAGAAACGGAGATGTGAAATGCCACGAGGGACACGGAGCTCTGCTCCCCCCGCTCCTGGCATCGCGCTGCTTGAGGGCGCGCAGCAAGGCCTGGCCTTGCCGCCTCGGCCGCTCCTGCGTTCTCAGAGAGGGGAATGCCGAATGCCAACTGTCCCCCGCCAAACGCCCCCCCCTTTTGAACCTTGGTATCCACGAGCTCAAAGAGCTCCGGGGCGCTGCGGAGGTCCAGGGACTGCACGCTCGAAAGTGTCAGATGTACAGGTGGGCAACATCTGGCAAACGCGTTTCAACATCTCGCGGGCCTGGCTAAGCCTGTCCACCAGTGAACCCTGGACCAGGCACACACTCACTCGAATGCCACACCTCTGTACACCTCTTTTGAAGTTGGTGGGCGTGGGCCTCCGCAGCCTCTTCAGCCTCCAGGGCGCCAGCCTGTACTTAGTACGAATAGCAACAACAACTCTCTTTGCTGCCGCTGCAGCTCCGGACAACCCAAGAGACACGAGACGCCCCACGTCTCGGCTAGCAACAGTCTGAGTCACGAGCTTCCAGGAGGCACTTGGACAACTCAAAGCTTCCCTGCAGGAACATCATAAGAAGACATCACTTCTCGAGGCTTTGCCTACATCTGCCCACATCTGCCCACATCTACCCACATCTACCCAAGCCTTCTTGAGGGCCATGAGAAGGGGTGTCCGCCCCAGCCTCAGCTACCAAACCCTCGCCTACCTTTGTAAGTCACCAAGAAGATCTTCAAACCTCAACCAAGCCACAAATCTCTGGGCGCCAGCTCGGCGCCGGCCTGCTGCTTTGACTGCTCAATTCTGCTGCATGATTTAGCACAACATGAAGGCTCGGTCAGTATCTCTCTCTCTCTCTCTCTCTTTCTTTCTGAGGCCTTCGATTCAGTGTGAAAATATGTTGACCCCTGTTCAAATGCTTCGTGTGGCGGCGCCCGCAACGACTCAACAAGCGAAGCATGTGCCATCCACGCTTGCTGTTGAGGTTCGGGAGTTGCCCTGAAGCTGCCCTGTGCCCCCGAACCCAAGCTTGCCTAGCGCGGTCGCCCATTTTTCTCATTGTGCTCTGCACATACTATGCGTGCTACATGCTGGCCTTTGCTGGAGCTTTCCTGCCCTTCCGAAAAGCCGTTCAGCTTCTGTAGCTTTGGTGGCTTTGCTGGGTCGCCCATGGCCTGTAGCCTACACAGCTTCTGAGTCTGCTACTACTACTGGAACTCCATCGCCTCACAAAGGTAGTCTGGGCAGGGCGCATGGCTGAGGTCCCTGAGCCCAAGCGACCTGAAGGACGAGCGTCAGCATGTCTGCCGAATTGCTGAGCACGGCAGAGTGGACGAGGGAGAGGCCTCGCAAGCTCTTCAGCATGTCGGAAATAGGCTCCCCCGACTGCCTCTGCACCGCACCTTCCTCCGAAGTGGGCATGCTCAGGATGCTTGGGTCCAAGAGCCCAAAAGCCTCCGCAGAAGCGGAGAAGCTCCCCTCATTCCCCTTCCACACTGTTCACTTCTGCTCAGCGATCCTCGGCATAGTTTCGGCTCCGGATGGCCTCGGCCAGGAGGAAACAGTTTTGGGCTTCAAGCAGCATTTTTCCAGTAAACTTAACAGAAACATGTCCGACACGACAAGTTTTGAAATGGTATTTTGCGCGATCGCTCACGCTGTGCAACTTTATTTGCATCACTGGCTTCCTTCTTTTCAGTAGTATATAAGTGCGTGAGCAGATGAAAGAAGCGAAAATGAACTAGCAAAAAACTCATACTTAGTAATGTTTATCACCCGGGCATTTCGTCAAGTATTTCGCCCGCCAAGTAACTCGTCTAACTTCTTGAATGACGAGGCCTCATGCGAGCCGAGCCCGTACCAAGCCAGACTTTGAAAACTCACTTACCCTGTGCCCCCTCTTCGATAAACCCCCCTCGCAGCCTCGTGAAGGCGCTCGGCGCGCACGGGCGAAGGGAGCGTCTCCCGAGGTTCTGGAAGCTGCGATCTTCGCTCCTTCCTTCTCCCCTCGCCCTCGCCCTCCTCCTTTCGTCTGGGCGCGCTCTTCGCAGGTCTCGCAGCGATCTCCTCTTGACCAGAGAGCTGAAGCGAGGACAGAGAGAGCACAGGTCACAACGGGCGCAAGAGAAGAGAGAACTGCTCTCATCATTAAGCACTGCTCAGGAAGTGTCCCCTCCCCCCAATCCAATAGAGAGGAGAGCACTCAAGTTTGAGAGAGAAGTTCACTCCATTGATTGAGAGAGAAGTGCACTAAAGAGGGGGGCGCGCCTGCTTCCGCGTTCGGCTCCTGGGATGCCGGGGGGAGATGCCCCGCTCTCGGTTAAAGATCAAAAGAGAAGGCTTACTTTTTTTAAGAGCATATATACGTATCTGTGGTATGCTTTTTTGGTGCAAACGTTGTTGCTTAAGCTGGCTGCTGGCTGGCCATGAGCATCGCATCTGCAGACCTGAAGTTTGGGACCGTCGACTGACGCAGTGCAGGGGGCCATCGACCCGCACAGCCGTAGAACACAAGGCGGGGGCACTCGCAGCTCTCACACCGGAGCAGAGGCTGTGATGTTCTGTGGCCACTCTGAGGCGCCTGCATCCAGGACCTGACGCTCTCCAAGGACTCGGGAAGCGAGTGATCCTGCTGCAAGCATGTGGCTTCTAAACTCTTCAATCTCTTGCGCATCTTGTGGCAACATCACGGCATTGCGCATTGCGCTGTGCGGCCTGTGCACCGAACCTTCGTCTGGCTGCAGCCTGCCACCTGACATCGCGACGTCGAAGACACCAGGCGCACAAGTCGAAGGGCGGCGAGGAGGAGGGAATGGCCGCGCCTCTCCAATGCCTGCTGCAGCAGCCTTGCACCAAGGCCTTCTTGCAAAAACCAGGTAACCTGCGCGGCAGGGCAACAGCCTGACACAAGAATGCTGCTCCGCCGCTGCAACACTCAGACCTCGCCGGCCACCTCGCTCTGCGGGTCGTCAAACTGAACCTCAATGGCCAGACTGAGCTTGCTCACAAAAAGATGGGTTAATAGTGAATGCAATGCATAATGTGCTTCATCAGTGGGACAAATCCCCTGCTCGCACAGAATGATGACCGGAATAGAAAACCATGTGTTGGATGAAGTGTCACTACTCTTCAGAAAATCGACGGAACAAGAATCATGGTCATAAAGCAAGCTCATGTTTGCTCGTTGACTATGTTGCCGAGCTAAGGCCTTATTGTTTCTTAGAGTCTTAGGGGAACTGAAGCTGATACAAGAAAACAGGAGAACAGAAACATATGTGTATATACCTAATTATGTACATATACACCAGAGGGGAGGTTCAAGATGTCCGCAAGCTCTGATTTCGATGCTTTGACGGCAGATGGTTTCGGAGTCCCTGTGGCTGTTGGTTTTGGTCCGGTCGGGATGTCCTTTTTCAATGCAGTATTGCTCACTTCCCGGCCCACTCCATCGTAGAACATGACAAAGCACTGTTGCGATTGCTGTGGGAGTCTCAAGGTAGAAACCCCTCCTATTCACAAAGAATGTAAAAACTTAAAATAAGTTCACTAGTTCAAATGACTGAAAACTCAAATAACTGAAATAACTTAAGTAACCTAAGTAACTTAATCTGTATTTTCGTTAGATTTGTCTTCATGAGTTCCCTCAAGTTTGAAAGGTACAAAACCCAACTATTGCAAACTTCGCAAGTGGAGATCATTCATGTATATTGATGAAACGACCTATGCGATTAACCGGCCATGAAATTTTGAAGCTTCTTGTTCGGACCACAAACAGAAAGGCAAAGCTGTCCTGCATGCTCCTCACATTCCCGCTTACATAGTAGACTTACGAACAATGGCAACTTCTGTTCGCCAACCCAAATCAACAAATACAAAATGGCAAAGCTGCCACGCAGCGTCTTCAAATATTCCGAGCCTTTTCGGAAGTGTAACTCACTTGAGAATCATACTTGACCTCCAAGTATTGTCAACCAACCCCATGTCCAGCCCTCGCGCCCCTTCAACCCCGAATATTCTAGGCAACGTTGGGGGTTGGTCTATAGACTTGGGGCAACTGCCTGCACCTCTGGCCGCACCCCGGGCTCGAAGCCCGGGATTCGTAGCACGCCGGGCCAGCGCTGCGAGCGCCCCTCTGGGGAGTGCCCGTCTTCCTCGGCACGCACGTTCGCCCTGTGTGGGTTTCTTCTTTCTTTTCTGTTGCGTCTTCGGGAACTGCAGGGGACCGGCTTCTGTCTTGCTGTCTTACTTAGGATCGGGAAGGACACGATTACAAGTACACTTTGATTTGTGCAGCTATGGAGATGGTGCTGCCGTCCACCCTTCTGACAGTGTCACAAAGGGGCCACAATGCTTCTGCGAGTTTCTGCATGCTTCTGCTGCGAACGAACATTTCTGAGACACATCCGTCCATGTTTGTGTGGGATCGAAACGAGCCCAGATTCTGTAGCGAGACCACTGAGCGATACTGAGCGCTCCACGCCGTAGAAGCGAGTGGCCTGTGTGGGACATGTTGAGATGCCACTGTGAGCCTCGCCCTCGCAGAAGCTCCTTGAAGATCTCCAGCTGTGCGCCGAGGTCCAAGTCATACTGAAGCACTGCCTTTCGCTGCGACCACGAAGACACGGGCTAGCAGAGAAAAGGCAAGGGGCCTGAGACCTGCGACCACAAAGGCTGGCTTCCCCGCTGACTTCTGTGCGGAGCACGTGGACCTGGGACACAATGCGTCCGACGGGAGCCGCGTCACGCCGCGTATTCTGAGTGGAAACCAGAACCTGCGTGGTGTCACGTGCGCAGCACACAGTAAACAATGAGAAAAGGTGCATGGGGGAGTGGGGACATGACGAATCCTTTTTTAACAGAACTCAAAGCCATACAGCGCTCCTCTGCGTGACCCCTGTTGAGGGCGGGGGGGGGGAGGGGGGGACAAGGGGACTCTTTGTCTCCTCGCTGTTGTACACACAAAGGGGAGGGAGAACACACGATGCACCGGATTGTGAGTAGAGCCGTGACATGAGGGGTGAATCCCCCCTACAGAGGCCTTCCCCCCCCCGGCTGGATTGTCTTTCTTTCTGGTACTTGTCTGCTATCGCCAAAATTCACCACCCAATCTACGCTCCAATTCCGAGGAGCGTGACTTAGCAAGTACCGTGCACGGCGAGCATCAAGCGAAACACTGGATCCTCACCCATGTAGACGCTGTGTTCCAAGAGGCTTTCGCTCACGCCGCCGTTTGTCGCATGTCTGAAGGTCCCTCCCTCCCTCCCTCCCTGCCTCTCCCTCCCTCCATCTCCCTCTGAGAAGCACACGTGTTACACGCAAGTTGTTCCCCAAGCCCCCATCGAAACATCCACGAAGCGCGCTGGGACATGTGCTTCGAGGAAAGCCCACGGTGTTCGCACCACCTCTGACCGCACCGGATCCTTCGATCAACTGCTTGACAAGGGCTTGAAACGGGCTTTGACTGTGCTTCAAGGATCGCGAGTTAAAGGCTCCGATCGCCAGCAGGTCCTTCAGCGCATCCGCAAGGATGTCTTGCAAAGACTCCTTGGCCCAGTCGGTGACATCCTTCTCCTGGCGACAATTTGCAAACATAAGCAAGCTCCAGAGTCATCTCCGGTGTCACTGGCCTGCCAATCCATTGCAGCCGCAATCTTCGGCCACTACACAGCTACCACATCCTCGCCTACAACCCGATCACATAACCGTTCAGTCTACATCATCCCATCGCAGAATTCACTGATTTGTTTGAGGGAAGTTGGCTGCAGCTAAGGCCCCATGTCTCTCCTTGTCTTTCGTGCGAGCTCGTGCATCGCTCTAAAATCTCTAAATTTTATGCACATTTGTTCAGTCAAAACGGCTGCATGCCCTGCTATCTTGCAATCTCAGCGCCTGAGGTCTCAAGCTGAGACCGGGGATTCGACTCAGTTCTGCAAGCGAAAACTGCAAAGTTGCCAGTGATCCCCAGGCGGAGTTTTTATGCACGGTACGGGTCGTCCAGCTGAGAAATGTTTCCCGGCACAATTCGCACAGACATGACACACAGACACACATTCCGCTAACATTCCTGAAGCTCACACACGGCGCATAAGACGTGGTCGGCAACCTCAGCAAGGGAATCAGAATTTGATGGGGTGAAGTATCGGGTCTGCATCTTTCTGTAGGCCAGCCTCCGTATTGGATGGTGTTTCGGACATAGGCTTGACTCACCTTAGCTCCGACTTACTGAACCGCTACATCTGCAAAAATGCCTTCAAAGACACCTGAGTCATACCATTTCCTCATACACACATACTACCGCTTACTACCTTGAGCGTGGCCGGGCCGCTGCGATGCCGGAAGCGCGGATGGTGGCGATGATGCTACCCAAAGCTCCGGGCCTTAGACGATTGGAGGCGGCAGATCGCTTCGGCCGAGTGAATGCGCAGATGTGACGAGGCGGGGGGCGAGCATCATGAGCATCAGCTGGGTATTTTTCTGGTCCAGTGACCCCCTAAGCTCCAGGCGTCTGCAAAACCCTTCGGCCGAGTGAATGCCCAGATGTGACGAGGCGGGGGGCGAGCATCATGAGCATCGGCTGGGTGTTTTTCTGGTCCAGTGACCCCCTAAGCTCCAGGCGTCTGCAAAACCCTTCGGCCGAGTGAATGCGCAGGCGAGAGGCGAGCATCATGAGCATCAGCTGGGTATTTTTCTGGTCCAGTGACCCCCTAAGCTCCAGGCGTCTGCGAAACCCTTCAGCCGAGTGAATGCGCAGATGTGACGAGGCGGGGGGCGAGCATCATGAGCATCAGCTGGGTGTTTTTCTGGTCCAGTGACCCCCTAAGCTCCAGGCGTCTGCAAAACCCTTCGGCCGAGTAAATGCGCAGATGTGACGAGGCAGGCGGCGAGCATCATGAGCATCAGCTGGGTATTTTTCAGGTCCAGTGACCCCCTAAGCTCCAGGCATCTGCAAAACCCTTCGGCCGAGTGAATGCGCAGATGTGACGAGGCGGAGGGCGAGCATCATGAGCATCAGCTGGGTATTTTTCTGGTCCAGTGACCCCCTAAGCTCCAGGCGTCTGCAAAACCCTTCGGCCGAGTGAATGCGCAGATGTGACGAGGCGGGGGGCGAGCATCATGAGCATCAGCTGGGTATTTTTCTGGTCCAGTGACCCCCTAAGCTCCAGGCGTCTGCAAAACCCTTCGGCCGAGTGAATGCGCAGATGTGACGAGGCGGGGGCGAGCATCATGAGCATCAGCTGGGTATTTTTCTGGTCCAGTGACCCCCTAAGCTCCAGGCGTCTGCAAAACCCTTCGGCCGAGTGAATGCGCAGATGTGACTCATGAGCATCAGGGGTGTTTTTCTGGTCCAGTGACCCCCTAAGCTCCAGGCGTCTACAAAACCCTTCGGCCGAGTGAATGCGCAGATGTGACGAGGCGGGGGGCGAGCATCATGAGCATCAGCTGGGTATTTTTCTGGTCCAGTGACCCCCTAAGCTCCAGGCGTCTGCAAAACCCTTCGGCCGAGTGAATGCGCAGATGTGACGAGGCGGGGGGCGAGCATCATGAGCATCAGCTGGGTATTTTTCTGGTCCAGTGACCCCCTAAGCTCCAGGCGTCTGCAAAACCCTTCGGCCGAGTGAATGCGCAGATGTGACGAGGCGGGGGGCGAGCATCATGAGCATCAGCTGGGTATTTTTCCAGGTCCAGTGACCCCCTAAGCTCCAGGCGTCTGCAAAACCCTTCGGCCGAGTGAATGCGCAGATGTGACGAGGCGGGGGGCGAGCATCATGAGCATCAGCTGGGTGTTTTTCTGGTCCAGTGACCCCCTAAGCTCCAGGCGTCTGCAAAACCCTTCGGCCGAGTGAATGCGCAGATGTGACGAGGCAGGCGGCGAGCATCATGAGCATCAGCTGGGTATTTTTCAGGTCCAGTGACCCCCTAAGCTCCAGGCATCTGCAAAACCCTTCGGCCGAGTGAATGCGCAGATGTGACGAGGCGGGGGGCGAGCATCATGAGCATCAGCTGGGTATTTTTCTGGTCCAGTGACCCCCTAAGCTCCAGGCGTCTGCAAAACCCTTCGGCCGAGTGAATGCGCAGATGTGACGAGGCGGGAGGCGAGCATCATGAGCATCAGCTGGGTGTTTCTCTGGTACAGTGACCCCCTAAGCTCCAGGCGTCTGCAAAACCCTTCGGCCGAGTGAATGCGCAGATGTGACGAGGCGGGAGGCGAGCATCATGAGCATCAGCTGGGTGTTTTTCTGCTCCAGTGACCCCCTAAGCTCCAAGCGTCTGCAAAACCCTTCGGCCGAGTGAATGCGCAGATGTGGGAGGCGAGCATCATGAGCATCAGCTGGGTATTTTTTTGGTCCAGTGATCCAGGCGTCTGCAAAACCCTTCGGCCGAGTGAATGCGCAGATGTGACGAGGCAGGAGGCGAGCATCATGAGCATCAGCTGGGTATTTTCTGGTCCAGTGACCCCCTAAGCTCCAGGCGTCTGCAAAACCCTTCGACCGAGTGAATGCGCAGATGTGACGAGGCGGGAGGCGAGCATCATGAGCATCAGCTGGGTATTTTTCTGGTCCAGTGACCCCCTAAGCTCCAGGCGTCTGCAAAACCCTTCGGCCGAGTGAATGCGCAGATGTGACGAGGCGGGAGGCGAGCATCATGAGCATCAGCTGGGTATTTTTCTGGTCCAGTGACCCCTAAACTCCAGGCGTCTGCAAAACCCTTCGGCCGAGTGAATGCACAGATGTGACGAGGCGGGAGGCGAGCATCATGAGCATCAGCTGGGTATTTTTCTGGTCCAGTGACCCCTAAGCTCCAGGCGTCTGCAAAACCCTTCGGCCGAGTGAATGCGCAGATGTGACGAGGCGGGAGGCGAGCATCATGAGCATCAGCTGGGTATTTTTCTGGTCCAGTGACCCCTTAGCTCCAGGCGTCTGCAAAACCCTTCGACCGAGTGCATGCGCAGATGTGACGAGGCGGGAGGCGAGCATCATGAGCATCAGCTGGGTATTTTTCTGGTCCAGTGACCCCCTAAGCTCCAGGCGTCTGCAAAACCCTTCGGCCGAGTGAATGCGCAGATGTGACGAGGCGGGAGGCGAGCATCATGAGCATCAGCTGGGCATTTTTCTGGTCCAGTGACCCCCTAAGCTCCAGGCGTCTGCAAAACCCTTCGGCCGAGTGGATGCGCAGATGTGACGAGGCGGGAGGCGAGCATCATGACCATCAGCTGGGTGTTTTTCTGGTCCAGTGACCCCCTAAGCTCCAGGCATCTGCAAAAACCCTTCGGCCGAGTGAATGCGCAGATGAGGCGAGCATCATGAGCATCAGCTGGGTATTTTTCTGGTCCAGTGACCCCTAAGCTCCAGGCGTCTGCAAAACCCTTCGGCCGAGTGAATGCGCAGATGTGACGAGGCGGGAGGCGAGCATCATGAGCATCAGCTGGGTATTTTTCTGGTCCAGTGACCCCTTAGCTCCAGGCGTCTGCAAAACCCTTCGACCGAGTGCATGCGCAGATGTGACGAGGCGGGAGGCGAGCATCATGAGCATCAGCTGGGTATTTTTCTGGTCCAGTGACCCCCTAAGCTCCAGGCGTCTGCAAAACCCTTCGGCCGAGTGAATGCGCAGATGTGACGAGGCGGGAGGCGAGCATCATGAGCATCAGCTGGGCATTTTTCTGGTCCAGTGACCCCCTAAGCTCCAGGCGTCTGCAAAACCCTTCGGCCGAGTGGATGCGCAGATGTGACGAGGCGGGAGGCGAGCATCATGACCATCAGCTGGGTGTTTTTCTGGTCCAGTGACCCCCTAAGCTCCAGGCATCTGCAAAAACCCTTCGGCCGAGTGAATGCGCAGATGTGACGAGGCGGGAGGCGAGCATCATGAGCATCAGCTGGGTGTTTTTCTCTTCCAGTGACCCCCCAAGCTCCAGGCGTCTGCAAAACCCTTCGACCGAGTGAATGCGCAGATGTGACGAGGCGGGAGGCGAGCATCATGAGCATCAGCTGGGTATTTTTCTGGTCCAGTCCAGGCGTCTGCAAAACCCTTCGGCCGAGTGAATGCGCAGATGTGACGAGGCGGGAGGCGAGCATCATGAGCATCAGCTGGGTATTTTTCTGGTCCAGTGACCCCCTGAGCTCCAGGCGTCTGCAAACCCTTCGACCGAGTGAATGCGCAGATGTGACGAGGCGGGAGGCGAGCATCATGAGCATCAGCTGGGTATTTTTCTGGTCCAGTGACCCCCTAAGCTCCAGGCGTCTGCAAAACCCTTCGGCCGAGTGAATGCGCAGATGTGACGAGGTGGGAGGCGAGCATCATGAGCATTGGCTGGGAATTTTCTTGGTCCAGTGACCCCCTAAGCTCCAGACGTCTGCAAAACCCTTCGACCGAGTGAATGCGCAGATGTGACGAGGCGGGAGGCGAGCATCATGAGCATCAGCTGGGTATTTTTCTGGTCCAGTGACCCCCTAAGCTCCAGGCGTCTGCAAAACCCTTCGGCCGAGTGAATGCGCAGATGTGACGAGGCGGGAGGCGAGCATCATGAGCATCAGCTGGGTATTTTTCTGGTCCAGTGACCCCCTAAGCTCCAGGCGTCTGCAAAACCCTTCGGCCGAGTGAATGCGCAGATGTGACGAGGCGGGAGGCGAGCATCATGAGCATC